CTACCGCATTTTCTAGTGTTTCGTAACGTCTAGAAAGCGTGATTTTCAAATATGATTAACTTGGCTTCAAAAGCGAAAATAGTCAGCTTTTTCATACTCATAACAAAGTAACGTTCCCTACAAGTCTGTGCTAGAAATCAGGCTTCATATCGCTTTCAAATAGTGAAATAAGAAGTGCTACCAAATTTCCAACCGGCGCGTTTTTCACACTAAATGCTTTAACTCTAGGAATTACTACAAGGCCGAAACAAGTCGAAACAAGCTCAAACACTTATTGCGGAATCTTCGAGAGCTGTGCTAGCGAATCACACAAAACTTGGATAGAAAAGCTCCCTCGAAAATAAAGTTAATGGGGTCAGGCGCAACCCCTCAAAAGGTCAGGCCGCCTGAGCTTTTGAGGGGTTGCGCCTGACCCCCTTAACTTGCCTTCAGTATTCAAAAATCGCTCCTTTTTTAGTATGAGTATTGAGCGCAAAGCCTCTTCTTGCTATATTGAAAATTTGGAGCCAAACACTCCACCCCTGTCAAAACTATAACTCTGATAAGAGGGCTATCCAAGTTCAAAACTTGCCGTCAAGTTGTGTGTGGTTGTGCAATCGCAGAAAGTTGGGCCTACTGCCAAAAAACAACAACCCTCCAGTAAAGGCTGGTCTTCTTCGAAATATCACAGTCTAAAGTCCTGGAGGTGAAGCGGAGGGGAGATTTTAGGGGCTTTCATAGGGGGGGGGGGTCGTTTTTGAAGGACTTGTGCCTGACCTTTTGCTCAACCCTGGTCATACCCTGCCCGAACACCACATCGCCCGGTCTCTTCTGGATCGCCTGGAATAATGCCAGGCCTCTGACAAAAATGTCCGAAAAACGTACACCCTTCCGATAAAGTGGGTGTTGCGCACGGACTGCGGATCTGAGAGTACCGGCGAAGAAACCTTTGCACCCAGTCAACAATTCTTGAACGTAAGAGTTTTCGAAAGTTCCTTGTATTTGAAAAAATAAAATTAAAAGATAATAGAAATTATCCGCCAACCTAATATGAAACTCTCCTGCTAAGCAAATGTGGTTTTCGTATAAACAGGTCAACAGATAACCTCCATAGGCAAATTTTCCAAGAAGTTCGGGTCATTTGATTTTTTCTCGTTTCACACTCTGAAACTCAAAAATGATTTTGAGTAGAATATTGATGACTTTAGATTATAGAAACACTTCGCTCATAGAGCTTTTCGGACACTGTTCACGAAAATTGTGGTTTTACGAAGTACAGGGCTTCTAGAAGAGATGTGGCATGAGGGCTGTAGCTAAGTCAGAAAAGTTCGTAAATTCGGCTGCACTTTTTGCGTATCCGGCAGAAAATTTGCTTGCTTGCCTTTAGAGGTCAAAGTCACTGGGAACCCTGCTAACAAAGGGTACATGTCTCAGGCTCACTCTACCACAATCGCCGAGTTACGAACTTACGAAATTACGTCCGCACGAATGTTGCCCTAAACGCATCTTTGTCAAAATTCCTTCGCAAGTTGCATAAAATGCTGATTGCAAACTTTATGTTCACTTCGCTCTCAATGATCTTACCGTAATGGATACGGTAATTGCGTGAGCTTCAGCCAGCTACCCACTCATATAACAATGAAACTTCGTGGCTAAAGCTGAAATCTATCTAACTACCGTGAAACAGTGAAATCTCTTCACAACTTTTCAAATTTGATTTGTCAAAGTATTCTATGGAAACACAGTAGTGTTCGTCTCATCCAATGGTCAACCCCTTATCATGATTGCTGAGGCCAGTAAGATCTTGAATACTCTGATATTCACTCTTTCAAAACAATATGCTTTTGTTGTTTTCAGCTACTATCAGCTAAGATCCCTTTTGCGCTTGTATGCATCTCAGTTTGAGTTCTCCGCGGTTAAAAATCCATCCGCGAATTGTCGCCCTTCCAGTTCTGAACTGGCTAATATCGGTGCGATCCGCGATTGCGGACTGCATCATGAAAGCTGCTTGTTTAAGAGTCCATGAAGAACTAATCACGTTGTTTCCCAGAAGTACATCTATCAGTCTAAACCGATACAGACACAAAAATTGAGAGTATGTCGAATATGCATAATGAAGGGCATCGTTCCTTCAAAGTTCCAAAAAATATGATTCAAGAATTAGTAAATTTCAATGATCAGTGTGTGATAAGTAATAGCTATGACAGATAGGTTTTTTCAATTCAAATTTCTTCCATCTACAGGAAAACAAACGAAACATATATGAGAAATTAGCTTGAAATTAATTGTTTATGGTAGGCACAATCGCTGGAGTTGAAACTATAACTTTTGCATTTTTTTGCGAATTTCTTGCTGGGTAAGATTTCTCCAGAAGTAAGGAGTACTGTCGCTTGATAGTTTAAAAAAGCGCATACGTGCTTCTTTATCATCATTTATTGAAGCAGCTTTTCGTTGTTGGACATCTTCTCATGGAGAATTGCACAAATGTCTTTCAAGATGAAGAAATAAGGGAATACAGTAAGAAGTATTTTTGGTTAGTCTGATTAATGTTCATAGGGTGCAGTTTGCTAGGCTATTCAGACTTTATAAGAAAATCTCATTTTTTCGTTTTTTATGAAGGAGATGCAAAACTGAGTAGCAGTAGTTTTTCCTGCAATTCACATTTTCGCAATGCTTATGTTATAAATATTATGCGCTATCTGTATAGTTTGATTTTGTCGAGGATATGTAGTGAAAAAAACCGCAACATTCACCACCTCAGCGCTTATCACAGTTTATTTGGTGAAGTAATTCGCTCATAGAGCAGATTAGATCAAACTTAAGCTCTCTTTGTCAAAAGATAATTTTTCTCATGCATGCATCGCATAGTTCAGCATTGAAGCACAATCTTTTCAAACTTTTTGACAGACAAATACATTGTAATCAAACTTCATTGCTCGCCAAGTAAAGAAGTGCTGAAACCTGTGGACTGATTTTGTTCACTCAACTAAGAAGTATAAAGGATTCATTCCTAATATGTGAGTCTAAACATTTGGCACGGCAACCCAAAGCACTCCATTGATGATTCATTGGTAGAATTCGTTTTAGTAGAGCTTTAATGAACCACCACTTACCTTCTATTTAGAAGCTGGAAAAAACAGATTTTCGGAAACTGGCAAATTCTTAGCAGAAGTCGCAGAGAATCGCGTGGTATGCAACACATATATTTATTGAGTTGAAAAATAGGTCTTGCATTAAAATAGGTACAATACGCAGTAATTCATTTTCTCTTATATCCTAGATAGATTTGATACAACTTGAAAAGCGATTCTCTACAAGACAGTTTTCAAAAATTTGCACCAAATTTTGTCCACGGTCTGAGAAGAGAAACTAAAATATCATGCGTCCGAAAAGCTTAAGAAATTGAACTCGCAACATCATTCAAAATGCTATGAAATAACTTATTGCTTCGCATGAAAATTTCGTATCAGATTTTTCTATACGCAGTTGCTGTGTTTTTTCCTCAGCTGGCTAAGAAAACGAATATTTTCATGTTTTTGTCAATTTCATTTGAGCAGTTCCTACTCTAATTGTTGCATATTACAAGGTGCTAGAAGTACAACCGTAAACTTCTAGCTTTTTACAACAGCTCCTTTCCAAGAGGTATCGAAACATGCATAAGACCCGAATGAGAGAAGCTAGGCACAATCCACATCGCTATGGCGGAAATCAGGAAATTTTTGTCTCTTTTTTCAACCAATCAATGTAAGTGTGCATATGAATGTGTGGTTAAAAAATTGAACGCTCTGAGCAAGTTGCAGGTTTGCAGGATTTTCGTAGACGAAACCATGATATATTTCCAATTGCGCATTTGGATTTTTTTGGTTTACCTCAGATTTCGCATGAAGATGCTAACCTTTGACAACGTCTTGTAAAGCTAGTCTTGCTTTGTCGAATGGTAGTTACGATCGTTTTTAGGGTACAGGAGAAACACAAATTACTGCCGTTTATTCCTATTTTCGTGCAAGACTTATTTATGTTCCAACCTAATAATCACAAGTAACCCGAATGCCTGTAACGTTTTCTGGGTAATGAGATAATATTCATCAGTGGCGGTCTCAGAATTTCGTTCGGGGAGAAGATGAGGGGGCGACAAAAAATTTTTTTTGCAAGTAATGGTGCGTGGCGTTAGCGGCGCTCTTCGAAATTTTTGGGATGCTTCTCCACATTTTTGCGAGTCCATGATCTCGAACTTTTAGAAGAAAGGATTTATAAAGCTAATTTGAAAATTACTTCAATTATTCACAAGTATCGTTTGTTCCCCAGAGAGGTTCCCATAGGTACCACGTCATCTCGCTGCCTTTCGCACTTTTAAACGTGTTAACCTCGGGCAGTTCCGTTGAAATCTCAGGATAAACGTGTCAAAAAGAGCGAAAGGCAGCGTCGCACCACGTACGCACGCTGGTTCATATGGGAACCTCTCTGGGGCGCAGACGGTATAAACAAGTCACTTGCACATTTTCATAACCCATATAGTATCTTTCAAAATCCCCCCCCCCCTCCCTTCTGCCACTGTATTCGTAGATTCTCCCAGCAGTAACTTGCAGTACAGTCTGCTAAAAATGTAATTAAAAACTATCAAGATACTCGGATAAACAGAACTCAGATTCTAGAGGAAAGCAAAATAGTGAGATTGTCATTCTTCATGGAACATTACCGCCAATTTCAAAATTGGAATCAAAACTCAATTTTATTCGAAAGTGTCGCTTTCGATCTAAAATGGGCTAACTTGAGCTTGAAATGATAGCCGATACCAAAAGTGCAAGACTTGCAACCTTTCAGGCTAAGCAGCTAACATTCACCGATGTGTAATCTCTTGCGACTCCGCCCAAGATGTCCGAAAACGAGAGAAATTGTAGAAATCCTGATTGCACGGCGCACATAAAAGCCTTGGCGAACACCGTCAAATCAACCGTTCTCTCGTTGCTAGGTATCTTACCATCGCGTGGGAAGTTACTCAGGTATAATTTTACTTTTACAGAATGGTAAAGACCGCCGTGACCATTGGAGCCGCTTGCGGTGTCGCTAGCGTTCTTGCATGTCTTTGGGCCACGATTGTCATTACCAATGACATCAATGCCATGTACGACGATGTCATGGGAGAATTGGGAGGGTTTCGGGTAAGTTTGAGGATTTTGTACGAGTTTGCTGGCTGGTACGAGTCTCCTTCTTATGTGCAGAGCGTAGCCGACGACACATGGGACGACATGATGGTAATGAGAGCTGGTGTCCCTACTCCGGAACAGTATGTTCGAGGAATTTTCGGTAGACACAAGAGACAGGCCAACACACAATGCAGTAAGTCCTCCCTAACCTGACCTTCCCGTAGGTAACTGAGATTCCTAACTTCCTTCTAGGCTGCGGTCTCCCTGCCCAGAACTGCCCTCCCGGACCACCCGGACCTCCTGGACCAGCTGGAGAACCTGGAGAGACCGGACCCGATGGCAAGAACGGTCCCACCGGACTTCCAGGCCTCAACATTGCTCAGCCTAACGAATACCCCAAAGGCTGCATCAAATGCCCAGCTGGAGAACCTGGACCCGATGGACTTCCAGGACAAGAAGGATTCCAAGGAATGCCCGGCAAGAACGGAGATCTTGGATCACCAGGAAGAGATGGAGAACCTGGCCCAACTGGAGAGCAGGGAGATCAAGGACCAGCTGGAAATGATGGACAGCCCGGTATGCCCGGTGCACCTGGACAGGATTGTCTTACCGGCAAAGGTGCGTTTCGCTTTTAAATAGTTATCCCACCCCTTCCTAAATTTTGTACTTAAGGAGTTCCTGGAATGCCAGGACGTGTCGGTATGCCTGGAGAACGCGGTCTCCCAGGCAAGGATGGACCCCAGGGAGAGCCCGGCGCAGATGGCATTGCCGGACCACAAGGACAGCCAGGAAAAGACGGCTTCAACGGTATGGATGGCACTCCCGGAGAAGTTGGAGGCCATGGAAACGTCGGAGGCGATGCTGAGTATTGCCCCTGCCCTGAGAGAAAGAGAAGAGCTAGAGCTTAAATGCGATAGAAATCTCATCGCCAGAATAAAGCAGTTTTTTACAAATGTATTTATATTGTGGAAGCAGACAGCGTTCCAGTGTCAACTTCAATTTCAAGGCACTTTTTCAAGAAGCAAACCAAAAAAATTGCCTGATTTCATAAACATTCTTGGCTGTTACAAGGACAAGTTACTACTGATGTCTGCAATTTGAGATTTAGTCGCGAAAAATACGTACATTTTTCCTAAAGCGAAGGCCGGCATTTGATGGGCATCCCTTCATATCTTTTTTTCCTTGGAACTTTTGTTCTCCACGTAATTGCTATATCTTAAACGATGCTAGAAAGTTATGTGGTCATTTTGAATTGAATCAAAAGCAAAGGCGGTGTATAAAAAGCCAAAAAGTCGCTCATGCGTAATTCTTGACTCCAAAAAATATTTCTTTTTCAGAATCATGCTAATATTGCTAACTGTCAGCTCTATCTGGCCGTAAGCATCGTACTTTCCTTCCCTTTACAATCTCCCCTCCTTTTGCGTCCTTCTTTTTTACATCATTGGAGCTACCACGTAGTAAAGTTAGCTTAAAGCACAAGTAGCTTGCATACGCTGTATCACTACCATAATGGTTACACTCTCCCCCCCCCCCCTCCCCAGAAAAAAAGGTCCTCAATATCGAAAAACACTTCAAAAAGTACACCGGTGTTATTTAAGTAGATTATCTATAGTACCATTTTCCAGACAAGCCCGAAACTCACATGTACATGTTAATCGAAAATGATCTTCTTATGCAAATTTGGCACTAGTGGTGCGGTTTGAACGAACACTGGGGTTGTTGCCATCATTCATCATCATTTTTGTTTCGCTACTTCCAATAAGACTAATTTTTTTTGATCATACAGGTAGAAACGTATCGTCGAGTCATCTTTGAACTAATATGCTATTGCACACCATGCGCGCTACTTGACGACTCTCAAGAATAAGATTGTTTATTTCCAGTAAGTTTTCCGTCTTTCTCTGTCTCTTTTGATTTGATTAGATATGTATCAGTCAGCAGCACACATTTCTGCAATTTGTTTCATTTAAAAAATTGTACTGAGGAGTTTTGAGAGATTGTCGTCGGTTGCCGCGCATGGTGTGCGGACTCACATATCAAGTCTCAATTGACTTGAGATTATATGCTAATGATATCTCAACGCAATATTATTTCATAGAAAACTGAGACCTCATTGGATGAAAACTGCGAGAAAGGATCGCACTGGCAGCTTCTCTTGTTCCAGTTTGTAATATTTACTATATTTGGCTGGTCAGGTGTGTTCCTAAGTGTCCAAATTTCTTGATCATTGTACTTCAACATAAATGAATAGAGATATGCATGGTCCAATGACTAGCAGCAACATGAGGCATATTTATTTCGTATGTTGATAGCTGTAATGATAACAAGAAATCATACGCGATCAAACATCAAGCTTTACAGTTTATACCAGTTTCCTGTCACATACACACGCGAGCGTGCTTCCAAGAATGTGATTTTCTATAGAGATCAAGCTCATATTCATAATTCGGGATAAATATTCTGCAATACAAACCTCGCCGTGTTCGTGTGATTGTTTACCTTCCGCCGTTCTCTTCATTTTATCGCACAGATCCATCTTTGTTATGTTTGCAACACATTAGATATGATCGTGATTCTCGCCACAAACAATCGTTGTCGTGTCGTTGATGGAATTCTCGTCGCTCAACTTTTTACACAAACGTTTCAAGATTGTCTCTTTGCTTAGTCATCTTATGCGTTATTCTTTTCTTCCTAAACTCAAGATGTGATGAAAGTTTCTACTGAAAAATGAGAAACACGTAAAAATTCATTGTTACTATTTATGCAATCAAAGTCAATCCTATTACCTATGAAACCACTTGAGTCTATAATAACGAATGACTCGAGCTTTAAGGGTCGGGCATACATCGCGTGATTTTATCGCCTCGCGATTCACCCAACAAGATAACTGCTAGTAGGTAATTGCAAGCTGATCATCTTGCTTCGGTTATGATAGTTTTCCGACACAGCTAATGCAAAATGACTAGCCTGCAATGAACTCGTAACAGTTGCCTTGTTGTGAGAATCGCGAGGCGATAAAATCGCGTGGTATATGCCCGGCACTTTAGACATGTATACTTTGATTCAAGTGGCTTAGCGGCTGGAAGGCGGGGGCTTCGTGACCTAATTAGGGCTAGATAGTCACCGAGTGCACACACGCGACAGAGACGCAGATTGCGTCGCGCGCGCGAGCGGCCTGATTAGATCACAAATCCCCGCCTTCCAGCAGGAAAGCCAGTTGAATCAAAGGTCAAAGGTTAAACAGAGACGACTCATGTCAAAAGTGTCTAAAAAAATGTTGCAGTCTTTTCAAAAATTTAGAACCCAGCCAGTGTGTCCATGTGAAGACAAAGCATCTGTTAAGTTGTTCCATAAGTCTTTTCATACTGAAAAAATCTGCTTACCTCTATTTTTGGTTTACAGTTCAAGTTCTGGTGAAGTTCGAACCCAAGATTTGAGATTTTTTCGAACTTGTCCAAACATTCAGATCTCCGCCCAGAAAAATCATAGTGGACTTCCAGATTGGTCGCATATGTACTCTTACAACAGGTATCATATGTGCTGTTGCTGCTTTTTCTCTACGGCTAAAAGTCGAAAGACAAATTAGGTCAAATCACGAAGAGCCCAAAAATGTCGCTTTCTCGGGGTTTTCGTGTTAAAGTTGATACTTCCGGAAAACTAAAGCTCGCAAAAGGCTCAAAAGTTAGTCATACTCATGGTTTTTCATAGTATAGATGTACTTATAGAACAGCGTAGTACTGCTTTGACAAAAACATGCAAATTTTCCCTCGATCTAATGGAAAATTACAGTGGCTGTGCATATGAATGTCTGCTGTGGAAAGTATATGGAAAGTATGCCCCAGAATTTGAAGCTTGCAAGGATTTTTCAGACAAGAAACCTTTTCCAATTTCGGGCATTCAGAAACTCTCAGGTTTTGGCTTCAAAATTTATATGGATCGACCTTGGTGCGAAGAAAGAAGCAAAGCAAGCTCTACAAGCGCCAGCTTGTAGAGCTGGCGCTTGAAGAGCTTGCTTTGCTTTACTGGAGGTACCCCCATGCTTTTAAAGGCACCGCCCACCCAAATTGGGGTCGATGAGATTTTGATGCCTAAACGGTAGTGGGGCCCTCAACTCTATACTTATCCAACTGGCGCTGGCAAAAGTTGCTTCCGAAGCGAGAAAATTGCTTCAAAAATAGCTCGGATGACAAATTCGTCACGTTGGCTCCTCCATTCGAGTGGGCGTTACTTTCGTCCCTCCCATCCGTGCGTGCCCAACCAATCACCGTTCCGAAGAATTCGCTGTGCGGGTTCTAAAAACGGGGGTTTTTCGTGGTTTTCGCGGATTTCCAACTTGATATTCGGAACCAGGGGTATGAGAAGGCCTTAGAACGGCAAAAACATGGAGGTCGAAATTTTGGGTGGATGGTGCCTTTAACACATTGACGACCGCTTGACACACATGGTGTGTCAAGGCTTGACATACCATGTGTATCGTTGAAATGGCCACTAATTTGTGCTGAACCCACACCGGGAGTTTTCTTTTGTGCTGGATCTAGACACAACCTTTGCTGTTCTTGTCAGCATTCCAGTTTTACTATGGGTGTACTGTAGGTGAAACTGCGCGTGATTTTATCCGAAACATGTTGAGCGGTCCGTGAAACGCCTTGGCCGTCAATGCGTTAAGGATTTAGGAAGAGCTGGTTTGCAGTCAAGAACAAAATATGGAAAGACTCCTGGGACAACCTAATACTTGCACAGAGCTACCACAAAAAATACGATCACTACGCTGATGGCCTCAAGTCTAGCACATCTATATGTAGAGCCTCATGTCAAAAGAAATCATCGCCTGTTCCTTAGCACCCAAGGTCATTGGAGGTTTTAGGGGCGAGAAGCTGATAGATTTCCAATAAGAGCCAAAGGGCATGAAAAATTCCAGAGAAATCAAAGGGAACTTTGACTTCAGAATCCTAGAAACAGACCCGTGCCACGACATGGTAGCACCCCTTCCTCTTTCTGCAAAACCCTATGCAAGCTAATCCACTATATTGACAATCACTGGGACACACATATGTTTTTCAAGCTACCAATATCTTGATTTTGAATCTTTTAGTCAAGCATCACGCTTTCCAAACATTCTCACGAACCTGATCCTCTTGCTGTTTGGACTCAAAATTTATGATTTTGAAGCCATCAAAGAATTTAGATCTTCGTCCTAACTTTGCTCACGCATGTGCTTTGACATCAGAAGTTTTTATTCATTGTTTCCGTGATTAGATATCAAGAGAAGAAATATTGTATGTTCTTTGCATAAACATCTGCTATATCTTCATATATATATATAGTTCTATACTAAAATTCTTTAGAATTACAATGTAGATTTTCATCTTTTTACAAGCACTAGTTAACAAGAAGTACTCAAAGAGGCATAAAAACCAGGCAAGGGTGACATTTTCCCAATTAGCCTATTTTTGTATCTCATTTTTTTGACATGGAAGGGATACAACACGTGTACAAATAAATATCTGATGTGAATTGGGGGGGGGGGTGTATGGTGAGCAAGTGGAAGCCTCTAAAAGGTTTTGGACAAAGATCCTAACTTTTTGCTACTCCATAACCTTAGATTTTAACTGCAAAAAAATTGGATTGACTTTTGCGGGAGTGTTTAGAAGTTAGCATGTAGATTTTCATGGTTCTGTTAGAATAGACTGATCCCTGTCCAGAAACATTCAACTGAAAGATATCATGAAATCAAAAAAAAATCATTGGACAACTTAATACAGGTAGGGCTACCATAAATTCGAGCAAAATGCAGCCTTTTTCGTTTGAAAAAAAGATTTTTTGTGCAAATAGAGCACATGCTTGCGCGATTTTGACAAAAATCCTGACAATTGCTCAATTCGCTTTGGTAAAGGCCACTCTAAGTTTTTGGCTGAACAGTGCGGAGAACCCATATGTGACACACTTTCAGATTGCTAGTTTCTTTTCAGCTGTATGTGACCCTGGCTTGAATAACTTCAACAGATAAGTTTGCGCTGATAGGTAGAGATTTGTCCTGTCTAGCCTGGCTTATGTTTTGATCAAAAGATTTTTTGAAAAAAGTAACAGGCTACAACTACATTCATAGCTTTCACATATACTTGGCAAAATTACTAACGATAAGTTCTTTCGCATAATGCAGGCAAAATTTTCGAATCTTATCCAGTCTAACTATGAAAAGCTCTAAGGTTCGGGTTTGATTGCCATTGTTATGTACTACTATAATGACCATAATTCTCAAAATGGACTGCTCTTCGGTCCTTTTGCTAAATGGCCAATTCTTTCCATTCAAGCGAAATTAATCGACCAAAGGCAATAGGCGATTGGCTCAATTTGAGACTCAACTGAATTATTGCTATCTAAAAATTTCGCAGCGTAATGCTACTCTCTCATTCTGTTATAGGTTCATGGCACCTTCTTGATGTTAAACTGAAATTGAATTCTAAAGTGCGAAATTGAAAAAAAAACGTAAGTTGAAGTTGAAGGGCTGGGAGGAAAAAGGGGGGGGGGAGAGATCAAGGAAGTCTCAGCAGCCTAAAAATGAGGGATAAATAGGATGTTAGATAGGGAGACATTCAGCATAGTAACTTTGAGAAATCAAAATAATCAAAAAAGAACACGAAGAAAGAGAAGGAAAGAAAAGAACTTGCTTGACTATTATAGTAATAAAGGATATGAAATCGCGCCCAAATCCAGAGTATGCGCGCCATGGCTAAATGTCCTCAGGCTACAGCGAAAACCTCTCGCTCACCTATCAACCACTCCATGACCTGTGATAAGGGGCCGCTGGTCCCGACTGACCAGGGGCCACCCAGCTGACCACCCACGACGAAAACACCGCTCATCGGCTGGAGCGTTCGGCAATCGATACAAGCGCTGCTCGGTGCTCTTACGCTAGCCGAGCCGTATCAGCAGCTAGCTTCTGTGTGCTGTTCGAACCCCCCCCCCCCCCGTCCAAGAATTGATGCGGTGAATTAGTCACCACTGTCTGGTTTCACTCCAATCTATTGCGCATTCCTAAACGTTGGGAAATTCTGCAAAATGCGCGCCTCTCAAGAAGAACTCGGTTCGTTTTTTTTCCAGATTTTTCCAATCGCGTTTTTCCCTTTTTTCCAATTTCCAAATTCCAAAAACATGGTTTCAGAAAGGCTACATAAAATGCCGGCTATCAGCGCCGAAGATCGTCCTCCGATGAATCAGGTGAGTGATCAGTCCAATACTTTAGTAATTTTTGCCGTCGGTCATCGTGCTCAGTCTGTGGTCACACAAAAGTGACCTATCTTTCAAGTTTGAGTACATCGTATATGTAAGTATATAGTTAGTGTTTACTGCGTAAACATTGCCTTTTCCTCGGCGTTTTTCTACATCTTCACTTTTTCTTCTCTTTTCATTACTCCTTGCAAATCCTCTTTCTCATGTGTGTACTACGCTTCACTCACACTTCAAAAATATGTCGATATAACTGCCGAAACTTAAAATCAATGACATCCTGGCTCTTAGATTATCCTTTCCGCAAATTTCCGTCTTTCCGTGGCACCTGTGGGCGTTATTCATTTATTTATTTATTTATTAATGCACATAGTGCGCCAACAATTCAAACTGGAGATAAATCAATGAGTAAACAGTTATAGTTATAGCCAAATTTTCTTCTTTTTTTTTGAAGAGGCTCAAAATTCCCTTTTGTCGCGACAAATTCTCTCTGGTTATTCAATGAAAATCACAATCACTCCTTCAATACTCACCTAAGGCTGCGTCTACACTTGCCCGTGCCAGCCTAGTGCCGCATCAATCGATGCAGGTTGCGTGCATATGTGCTGCGGCACGGCGCTGGCACGAGGGCAATTATGGACGCTGATTGAAAGGATTCTGCTGTTCTCTTTTTAGCATCTGTTTTTTTGGATAAAGTGCAGTTTCGTATTTGTTAACATTATGAGGAATGGTGCTACTTTTTCTAAATTCTTTTTTCTTTGATCCTGTTACTTTCCATTATTGATATCAAAGCTTTTTTTATTAACGTTTATGCATTGTGAATTAATGAAATAAATGTTTTTTCATTATGCCTCCATTGCACTCTGTCTAATCGAAGTGTTTGAACATTTTCACTCTGCAAACTTGGCTGATATCGAATTTGCTAGACTGTTTACTTTATGACTCCATGTTTGGACTGTCTCTATCATCTGTTCAGTGAATGGCGATCGTAGACTGCTTTTAGTGCAAAATCGTGAGACTAGTTTTTGACCAGCCATGGGCGAAAGTTTTCATTGTCATAAGCTGGGATCTTAACAACTCATTTGAAGAGTTCAAATGAACTTTTTTGTGAATTTGGGCACATATACCGTGGCTAACTCTGAACTTTTTGTTTTTTTAGAGAAAAAAGCAGTGCCTCATGGAGACAAGAGCATCCCTGTGATAAGAACTGGGATTTTATCATTTCCTTGAATGGAAAGTTTTTTTTTTGCAAAATTCCAAGTGTTCATGTCGTTCCTCTTCGCGTTGTATCCGTTTCCAGCTCTTTTTTGCGAACACAAAAACATAAATAGTAAAAAAAAACTAACGTTGAAGTAATCAGCCGAAATGGATTTAGAATAAATTTATTCTCAGGACGGATTTTCTTAAAGGTACTTACATTCAACCTACCAAGTTCGAATACAAAAAATTTCAAACAAAAACAGTACCTTATAGTAGGAAAATTTTGTCAAAATGCTATCATATCCAGATTCAAATTACAGGATGATATATGCCCTTTCAAAAATCAAAATTACTAAAACTTTCACAGACTTATATACAGGGTGTCCCAAAGAAATGTATCCACCGTTTGATTGTTGATAACTCTCTTATTATGAGGTCTTTCGAGAAGCGGTAAGCGCAATTTTGTAGAGCTGGCTTCAGCTTAGATTTACAGTATAGAGCGAATCAGCGATCGCTCACTGTTACTGTAGGATTACGGTAGAAATTCAAAGAGGGTTTTAAGCCATGAAAGGCCATATTTTGCCTCAGAAAGGAAACAAAACAACTCTACAAAATGGAGCTTACAGCTTCTCGAAAAACCTCATGATAAGAGTTATTAACAACAAACAGTGGATACATTTTTTTGGGACACCCTGTAGTTATATGAAGTAATCGAACATCATCACTTCTCTGTTCTATCCTCTTTAACCTCCATTTACGCATGAGGCTTGGTTATTAGAGAGTCCATAACAAAATAGAGCAAATGATGCCATAGGTTGGCGTTTTCGCGTTCTTTTATTCTTGTAATCTTCTCACTCAGAAATACCTGTCGCAAAACAATCAAAAAAATTGTTCTGATTTTTATCACCGAGAGTGTCACAGTAAGTGAGCAGAAAATTTTTTTATTCAATTTGATTCGCTCAAAGTGTGTCACTTTGTAAACTGTGAAAGAGTTTATAAGACAACGCCCATAGATCAGTTCAAATCCATTTTCCCTTTCCTCAGTCCACTTTTATGAATTTACGAAGAAGAAAAGGAAATGGGCGTCCATAGATAGAAGTTACTGAGAAAGACTCACACAAGTCCGTCCCATTCTCAAGTACAGCAAGATACCTTCACATCTGACTCAAATTTTTTTTCAAACACATACATTGTATTGCACAGTAGACATTGAAGTCATCTTCCTATTTGTTTTCATTTGTGGATTGAAGTTGATGTTTGACGAACGCCTATAAACTTTTGTATTTCGTTTTATCGCTGCACCTCCCAAAGAAAACCAGCGATTCAGATAAATGAAGTGTTTTGGAGAGACTTTTCATGAGCATCAAAATGTTTTGAAAAGAGATCGTGTTCTTCATAATTGTCTAAACCAGACTCATTTTAAAGTTTTTTTTAGGAGGAATACGACGCTGAATATGGTGGGAGGCTAGAGAAAGAAGACCCAGTCTTGCGTAAAATAGGCAGGTACACATATGCAGATTTATGTGTATGTATGTGTGCATCTTGCATGCATTCTATATGCGGACACTCCGCCCTTGTGCAAGCTCCACCCCCTCCCGCCCTGTGTAAGCCCCTCGCTCTCCGGCAAATCCAAATCTTGCAAAAAACAAAAAATAAATGAATGAAACAAAGTAGATTTTATATTTTCGTTTTGTTCCTAACACTAAAGGGAAAATTAGGTAGAAATACATCTTTCTGGAACTCATCAGTAGTGAACGACGATTATAAACTTGAGAAAAAAAGAAAAAAAGAAGAAATAAGTCAAATTATAATAAATCAACCTCAAAATAAGTGTAGTGCAAAATATCAACAAACGCTAGGTACGGTCGTATTACTCAGTTTCAAACGTGAGTAATCAAATCGAAAGGATTGCAAGTCTGGAGTAGTGGGCGATGCTTGCATGAGGGGCGGGGCTTATCATTAAAGGGGTGGGGTTTGCCCAATGGTTGCGCTGCACAGCCTTCAATGTTTTGAAGAGAACTCAGTAGCTATTTTAGGTCACTACAGAATTCGTACTGCTATCCATTCACAGGAGTGCAGCCATTTCTACATGCAGTGGTCAGCTTCATGCCCATATTGCATTGGCTACCAAGATATAACTTTAAACGAGATTTAGTTAGTGATATGATAGGTGGTTTCACCACCGGAATCATGCATGTGCCTCAAGGTCTGCTCTTGCTCTTACAAACACAACCATTCCTTCCTTCTTTTACAATCTCTTAGTCATAGTTTCTCTTCAGGAATTGCCTACTCTGCTCTAGCCGGTGTTGATCCTGTCTACGGTTTATATTCATCTTGTTTTCCTGCCTTTTTCTATATGTTTTTCGGAACGTCACGACATGTATCAATCGGTAAGCTCCGTCTTAACCTTACAGAAGTAATCGAGGGATATGAGACGGTGTTTAAATGAATGGTACATGACTCAAAAAGAGAAGATAAGATTTAGGACAAGAAAAGATGTTTAATTTATTTTTGATGTAAAAGGTTGGATACAGTGACTGCCTGTTGCCTGTGTGTCGGAGCCGTAGCAGCGTGCTGACACAGTGCCATCGTGCCATTATCGTGCTAGCGCCGTGCCGCAACTCACGTGCACGCGAAGCGCATTGATCTATCGACATCCAGCATGGGGCTGGCACGATCAACCCCCGGCGCAGCCTCACGTGCATCGAGTTCAATTACTGTTCATAAACACTCGAACTACCAATACTTTTTGACTAATGCAAAATGTGAAGTGATTATGCGCTTGGCTAGTATATCCATGCAAATTTTCTTGAAGGTACGAAGTTCTGGTCGGTCGGCTTGGTTCAAATTCTTTTGGAATGTTTTTGGATTTTTTCCTGCTGCTGGTTTACTTGATTTTTTTGTCGAAGAGTATATGTTCAACATATCACAGCCCTAAAAACAACAACGGCACTTATTCACATTATCTCGCTGTCATTATAGTTTAGCATACCTTTTGTTCAACAACTTTATTTGGGACAGAACTGAGTCCTTGCATCAGCCAGAAGAAACCAACCTAGTCTTTAAATTTCAAGATTTAGGAGTGTTACAGGATCGTTTGCGGTAGTGGCGCTAATGGCTGGTGTAGCAAACGACAAAGTTATGTCCATACATGGTGCAGGCACAGTGGATCTGATGCGAGATTCCTATGGTGTTCCATATAATGTCACGACACATTATGATGTCACACCAATCCAAGTGGCCACCACCCTCACATTTGCCATTGGCATTTGGCAGGTTCATATAGAGAAATCCTTGAAAAAATTCTTGAAAAATATGAATGTCTTGAATTTTTCAGCTCCTATGTGCTCTTCTTCGACTTCAGTTTGTAATGGCCTACTTCTCGGATCCGCTAGTCTCAGGATTTACAACTGGTTAGGAAATAATTTTTTCTTCTGCAAAAGGTTCTGACATGAGATAAAAACTTCAGGTGCTGCCGTTCATGTTCTTCTTGCTCAAATTGATGACATAATGGGTGTCAGTGTTCCCAAAGCATCGGGTATCGGATATGTGTTTGTGGTTAGTTTTTTCTTACAGTGCCAATTATGAAAGGATTTTCAAAGTAAAGATCGCGGAGGTGAGGGAGAGAAAGAAGCTCATAGGCCCTTTGACCCATTTGCGAGCGGTGCTCAATTCGCCGCGTACGACGCTATAAAGAAATGGACGAGTTACATGGCAATTGGGAAGTGTCTTTTTTTAAGCTTGTTAATACATCTCTGCCAACAGTTGCGGGACTTGATGGGTGTATAAAAGTGAACGAGCCTTTCTGCACAATAACTCGTTCGGTTCTCCACTGTTGCTTCGCCCTGCATAAAATCTGGCCAATCGCAAGGCGTAGTAACCAATGAGAGGCGCGACGCTATGACGACCGGCTCATAAAGGCCGTTTTTCACTAGTAGAACGGAAATTTTTTCTTTTTTTTTCTTTGTGACATCAAGCCTAAGATACAATGTTATAATTATTGAATTGTTTTGCGACATTTCTTTTCTCTTCCACCAAGCTTTCCACAGTATCAGTTTGTGCACACCTACGTGCTGAACGTGATGAATGTAAAATTCAATTTTCGGCTCTTGCTCCGCCCTCCATAAATCATGACCAATCGCAAACGTGCCGACCAATCAGAGACGCGGCGTTTTAGCGAGCGGTCCGAAAGGGCCGTTTTTCGCTTTAGACAAAGAAAGAATCGTAGTTGTATTTTTGCAGTTATGACACGAGTCCTAAAGTATCACATTATACGAATTGTTAAATTCTTGTATTGACTTCTGTTGTCATTCCCCCTCTTACTTCCCACACCAACTAAATATGCGCGTAGAAATACACGAAGTTTTTCAGAGAATCTATGATCTCGCCGTACGGGTCACACAAGTGAACATCACTACGCTCATTATCTCAATCCTTTCGATGACATTCCTCTACGTTGGTAAAGAATACCTCTCACCATTTTTAACGAAGAGGATCAGTTTGAGGATACCTATCCCCTATGAGTTAATTCTGGTATGTTTTACTGCTTTGCAGATCGTGATAATGACAGTTCATTTCAGGTTGCTGTCACTACTGCTCTATCGTCATTGCTGAATTGGCACGATAATAATTCAGTTGCTGTCGTTGGCAATGTGCCAGCTGGGTAAGCTTCATGAATTTTATAAAGGACATTCGGTTTTACTCACTGTGCAAGGTGTCTTTTCTAAAGTTCTGCCCATTTACTTTCATAAAAATACTTTCTTGAAGAGACTTGATTTTTCAATTTCTAAACCCATTGAAATTCAACAGTCTGCTTATGCACATTCATGCTAATTTGGTTGAAAGAAGGTTTGCTCGAGCTTTAACTATTACGGCTAGATTCTTGGAAATCACATCTGATAAATAAAATCAATTAGGTTAGCTAATTAGCTAATAGATAATTTCTTTGCGGCTTCTATAAATGCTATAGATAGAGTTTTGCCAGTGTTTGGTATATTCAGAAAGCGGACTTCAGTGAGAATTGGAATGTAAATACGCTTTAAATAGAATTCACTTCCCCATGAAGAAAAGACGCAAAGAAGTAAGAAACCCCTAATTTTTTGTGCACAAATCTGAGAACATTTCGTTTTATCCTTTCTTTTCGTTTCGTTTTATCTCTTATCTTTGGTTTTATTTTTATATATTTCAAATGTGTCAAAGCTTCAAATAGAAACCCTTGAGTCGACGTGTTCACCTTCTACATATTCAGAATCATTCTTTGAGAAAGGCATTGTCATAAAAGCGAAGTTAAAGTATACAAGGTGTAGGTATCAGTGGCGTAGTGGAAGGTGGCTTCGTTATGGCCAAGGTTCGATCCTGCCGTGGGCCAACCAGGTCCTCTACCCTCCAAGAGCAGTGAATTGGTATGAGAGAGCTTGAGGGACAAAAACACTAACTTGGTAATCCGCTGCTTCTCCCCCTCTTGTCAATCCCAATCTAAAAGCCCACCGCACTTAAAGGCAGCGGCTCGGCAGATTTTGCATTTCCATCTTTTTGCATGTTTTGGGCCTTCTCGACCCGTAGATCCCGAATCTGAGCTTTAAAAGCGGTGAAAAGACCTTTTTCGGGGCGTTTTTTTCAATTTCCAAAAGGCAGCTCGGACGAGAATTTTCAGGAAAGTCGGGAGGCCCTGGCACGAAGACCCTGCTGCCTGTAATTTTGGCTTTGTATGGCATGCACAATGCGGGAAAGCGGTTGGGGGGGGGGGGTCCCGCGCCGTCTAGCGGAGAATACTCGTCCGAACAAGGTGTTAAGGGAGCGAAAGGAGGAAGTGGAGCGGCGCTTGGGCCACCTCCTGGCTTGCAGAGTTCACATTTTCGGCGCGGAGTTGCTGTTTTGGTTCACTTGGAGGGCCTCCTATCCATCTGTGTCAAAATCTGAGGTAGGCCAATCTGCCGAGCCGCTGCCTTTAAGAGCTCACCGGCCTTCTAGCCTATGAAGTAGAACGTATAGGGCATCTCCAATATGTTTTGAGGGCGCATACTCTCAGAGCATATTGGATATGACGCATCATTTATGCTTTATACGAAGTGTGCAAAGAATCTATTCTCATATTCCGCTGATGTTGAAAAATCCGCACTTAAAGGCAGTGTGTGGTAGCACCTCAGCTTTAACAGATTACTAAAGCGGATTCCCGTGCCGGCCACATCTATCGCGACTGCAAAACTGCCCTAGGGCGGGAGAATCGCTTCTGAAGTCCAAACATAGCCGATCATGATGGAACGCGGCCATTACGGCAATGTCGTTGACTGCAGCGGCCCGTTCCGCCACGCTTTCTTGCTCCGGTAACGAGACTGAATCGAGGGGCGGCTGCCCTGAAGCGATTTTTTTTTGCTTTGGCAAGATTTCGCTGTCGCTGTAGTTCAATAGCTTTCATGGAAACCCGACCCAGTCATCTCTTTGAACGAGGTGCTCGAAGCCCCCTCAAAAATTGCTTTTGAAGATAGGCAGTTGAAGGAGTCATGCTTCTACAAAAATGTATATTTTGTCAAGGGGCAGGGGTCGCAAAGAGTGTTTCACTATCTTGGAGCAGAAAGTCTGTAATAGCTGCAATAATTTTTTTGGCATGGCATACACTTGCAAGAATTTAGAGATTGCAACATCTTATTATATTCGCAGTGACCAATTCTTGAAGAAATTACGGTAAAACAAAACAGAGGTTTTGCAACTTCTTCAGGTTTCAAGCTTTTCATTTCCTGGCCGAGTACAAAACAAATTAGGAGCCGATCTGGCTAAGAACAAATCAGCCTTCATATGAATTAGAGTACTTCAGGCAAGGCGTAGTCCCCCCTTTCCTTATTTGGTCGCCACAGTTGTGCACATCCATGCCAGTATGGTGTCTTTCGTTAGCTAAATTTTGGCCGTCCGTTGCGGTCAGTGCGGTCAGCTGCAGTCTGCTGCAGTCTGTGGCAGTATGAAACAACCCTATGCTGTATCGAACAACTTCACATTATCTCAGAATTATGCACAAATAATGGGTTTATAACACTCTGACATCTGCTTTCATAAACTCTGGAGATACTTTCGAATCAGTGATGAAAGCGATCAGGATTCTATGAGAAACGGCTTGACCTTTTGCTTCTTTAGAAAAAAGAGCAGCAGGGCAACTTTTCTCTGTTTCACAAGGAATGCATGTTTTGTCGATGTGGCCTTTTTAGATGGGATGTATACCATAACTGAAAAGCATATGCTGGTTCCAAATCTGCTTTCCTTATCTGCAGAACGTTTATGGACGAGGCGCTGTGCGCTGCGTCCATAAACGTTGCGTGCGCTTATTGGGACAAGAAATCAAATGTGCAAGTAAGACAAAAATAGCCGTAATACTTATTCTAGCTCTTCAATGGAGCAGTGATAATTATTGGAGCACTATGCTTAGAAAGTACTCCAATAAAAAAAATATATCGCACCTTCGCATTACTTTATGGCTGGTAAGATTTTAGCAACTCATTTCATACAAAATGCATATTCAGTTCTTGGCTCCAAAAAACGTTCAAAACTCCTTGTCCATAAACGTACTGCAGATAAGGAACAGCTTTGGAATCAGCGTTTTATGCCCTTCAATAAGGTATACATCTCATTCAGAAAGGTCACTTCGACTAAACAAGCTTTCCTTGTCAGATGCTCTTGTTCATAGCCGGTAATGATTCTAGTTACATGTTAAGCGATCCAGGACGTGTTGATTTTTATTCTCGAGGCAGATAGGCAGTCCTGATAAAATGTTTATGATTTTTGTATCGTCAAAGGCAGTGTCCAGGCAAATTTGGGCCTATGGGAATTTCACTTCGAGGGTAATTTCGGAGCCCTAACTAACAACAAGACACTGCCCAAGCGGCAGCTCAAATGGTAAGCTCACAGTTGAGATATTCGCCTCCAAACTGACCCCCGGGATCGTATCCGGATTCATGGCGCGACGCATCAGTTTAGCGCGAGGACCTATGCGTGTCGCGCCACGAATCCATGCGAATACGATCCCGGGGTCCAGTTTGGAGGCAAATATCTCAATTGTGAGTTCTCCATTTGAGCTGCCGCTTGGGCATTGGCTTAGTTGGGGCCCCAAAATTACTTTCCACGTCAGGACCCGTATGTCCAGATTTGCCTGGACGCTGCCTTCAACATTGATGAACTTTATATTTTGTATAGCCTACGGAACCCCTCGGCTAGCTTGTGAGCTACTTACTCTTGAGTATCTGATCATTCAAGTCTGAGTGTTGTGTGCGTGAGGAATGTATTCAAACGGCGGCTTCTTTCAACTTCACCAACTCGCATATACTGGACCTTGTACTCGATTCAGCTCCGCCTTCCTTGTATACATATAAGGAGCCTCCGAGTATATTACGGGATTCTTCTCAGCTCAACAGGAGCACCTCGAAATCTCTCTCTCTCTCTCTCTCTCTCTCTCTCTTTGTCTGTCTCTCTCTCTTAACAAAGCCCATACGAATAAATCTATATTCCACAACTCGTCCATCTTAATCATTTGGTACCAGCCAACTAAACTATAAGATTTTTTTGGAGCACCTAATTTATGAGAACTTTGAAAAGAAGGATTTAGATAAACAGAGTACCGAATTGATTTATTTTTAGACTCCCCGAGCCAGAACTGCCAGTGTTCGGGATTCTTTGCGACTGTCTCTTGCAATCGATTGGGATCGCAATTGTTATTATCGCAGTGCATATTTCAATGGCAAAAATGTTGGGAAAGAAAATGAACTATCATGTGGATGATAGCCAAGTGAGTTCCTTAGAATCTCAATTCGTTACCGTAGGAAATGTGGAAGCCTTGTGCTTGATCTTCTTTGAAAGAATCTTGAGGCAGTAATAGAATTATAATCTAGTATAGTCTTTTTTCTATCTGTTCTCTAATACATGGTAGCGAATTTGAAATGTTGAAAAAAATGTTTTCGTAGTGTAAAAATCGTAGACTTTCCTTCTCAGTTTCTTGTTTATCGACCCAACCTTATAACTTGTTGGTTTCGTTTTTTGTTCTTTGAATTCACTTCCTTAGGAACTCTACGCTATTGGTCTGACCTCGCTCCTGGGTGGATTTTTCCCTGTTTATCCCGTCTCGACTGCTCTTGGTCGAACCATGGTAAATGTCAAAAGCGGTTCGCAGACTTTGGTAAGTTGGAGACCATGTGTAGTTCTTTGGTTAATTCACCCTTTCAGCTCTCTACCGTGTTCAGCTGTGCTCTGCTAATGGCTATCATTCTATGGCTTGGACCTCTGCTCAGGGATTTACCCAAAGTGAGTGAATGTCTATGGTTTTCTAAAGATCACTCATTATATGGTTGATTTGAACATTTTTGGCCTGCCGATCGCATTCAAATTTTATCCGATCTTCTTTTGGGTGAAGGACAGTAACCTAAAGGGGCGGTCCCACGCGCACATTTGCAACAGACCGTGTGCCTACACCATTACTGCCGCATGCTATCTGTCCGGGTGGGTGGAGCCTAATGGTAACCTAATGTCCTCTATACCTTTTTTTTTGAGATGCTTTCAAGGCTGCTCGCGCCGTTCCCGCGCAGCGTTAAAGCATTGCTAGAATTGTGCTTCGGTGGAAATCGATCAATGCGCGCTGGGTCTGCTCCGGTTAGGCTACCAGGGCACGGAACGGCGCTGGCACGGGATTTGGCATACAGGCAGCTATGAGCGCAAACGATAGTAACTGTGTAGTTGATTTTTTTCTGATAATTTTGAATTTTCTAAGTGAAATTACGCGTGCCTTTCGGAAGTTTATGATTTTTTGGTCAAAAAAGGTGACGATCACTAGTATCAATGTTACATCTTTATTCTACGTTGCAGCTTGATTTTCTTGATTTTCTCTACGAAGAACCACCTTCTAATCCTACTTCCAGTGCGTCTTAGCCTCGATCATTATTGTCGCTTTGAAGTCTATGTTCATGAAGTGTGGCGAGCTGAGAAGGATCTATGCTGTGTCAAAGATAGATTTTGTGAGTTTTTATTCTGCCAGTTTTGAAGCAAAATAATAGGTTGAACCGAAAATAATGTTGCTTTGGAATTGAAAAATCCGTAACTGCTCTCTGCTGTGAACGGCTTTGAACGTATTTGCTTACAAAGGTCTCCTCAAAAAGAAAATCTTGTCTCCTTTTTAACAGTATCTTTGAGGCGCTCTGACAACAGGCGACTTCAAAGGTAAAAATTAGAAAAGGAAAGGCACTTAAACTCCCGGTTTTCCAAAATGAACCGTCAAAAATCTGAAACGCCACAGAAAAATCTGATAGCAATCTGAATTAAGAGGTTTTGTGAGCTGCTCTCTCTAACGGCGTTGAAATTGTGCTAATTGAGCTTCCCTAGGAAAGTTATGATTCTTGAAAGCAATGCGAAAAACGGCAAAATGACGTTTTTTGTCTTTTTTCTATCTTTCATGGAAATCATAACTTTTCATAGAAAAGTTCGATCAACACGAATTTGGCACTGTTAGAAAGAGCAGCTCACAAAACCTATAAAAACATGCTTTTAGATATTTCTACAGCGTTTCAGATTTTTAACGATTTATTCTCGAAAATTGGGATTTGAGTGGTTCCGACATTCGAATTTTTATCGCTGAAGTCCCTTGTCCTCAAAGAACTACAAAGATGTAATTAAAAATAGATAAATCTATTACTAAAGATATTTTTTGCAATCAAGTACGTTCGCATAGAGAGCAGTTACGATTTTTCAAAAGCGACAGAACTTTCGGTTCAGCCTAATAAAGTGCGGTTCATAATTATACGAACACCAAAATTTTGTAAGTTTTTGGACTTTTTGAGAGAAACTCAAAAAGCCGCTGGTACCACACGATAGAACACAGCCGAAAACGGTATGTGATCCATAAGAATGGAAATCGATGTCAACTGTAGGAGTGCTTTTGCGGCTAATGCGAATTTTTAGCGGTTCATAATTATACGAACACCTCAAACAGAGGTCCATTTTTCACTCAAGATTGCAATCGTTTGAGTCCAAATTTTTTGAAGAGTTACAGTAACAAAGTCTGACATATCTGCTATTTACTAAACCCAGTGCAGTTCAAAAAGATGATCGTTACTTTTTTCAAAAGGGGCTAAATGCTTTCGGAGTGATTGGGCTCCAGAAACATCCGTTCTTCTGTGGTTTACGCGCTCTAATTAGCTTCTACCAAAACTTTGAGATGAAATAAGCTCTTGCGATAGGTATTTTGTTTGACGCTTTGAGAATCTTTGCGTTTTCGTGCCGTTTTTCAACCAAGTTCCAACCTTACCACAGAGTTACCACGATTTCGAGCCTCAAAAATCAGCTTCTGGAGCCGTACAATGAAGTAAGCATGTAGTATGTAGAAGTTTACAATACTTTATATTTGCCTAGAAAAAATCAGCGGCGTTGAGCGTTTGTTTTGGTCACGCAGAAGTTACAGCACTGGCAGTGCCGCTTTTCAAAACTGCGTTTTAAACGCAATAAAGCGCCGGAAGTGCCGCATTGCTATAACTTCTTTCAGACTACTCCTATCGAGCTCTGATTAAAATATTTGGAACCAGCGCTGTCTGTTGCATCCGATAGTATATTTGAAAATTGAAAAATTCACAATTTTTTTGTGCCCCACGGCGCAATAAACGCGATATTGCGTCGAAAGAGCCGCATTCGAATAACTTTCCACAAAACTACTCTTTCTAATTTTCCTTGTTATATTCGGATTCAGCACTGATTGGTCTATCCGACAGTATATTCAAAATCTGAAAAAGTCAATTTTTTCATGTGCCGCAGGGCACAATAAACGCGTTTTTGCGTCGGAAGTGCCGCATTTTTATAACTGCTTTCATATTTATCCCACAATAATCTTGTTTACACAGTTGTCATCAGTGTTCCTCGAGCTATCCGCTAATGTGTTTAAAAGTTTGAAAATCTCAATTTTTTAGTGAATTACACGTTTTAAATCTTTTTGCCCCATTTTTTGCACTGATAAGCTGATAACGATCTTCAAAGTAATTGTACAAAATTCTGAACAACATATTTGAAATTAGTTCATCGCAAGCTATCCAATGATATGTTTAAAAACCTAAAATTCTCAAATTTTTTGTTTCCGATTTTATTGGTCCCTCATAGTGGCATTATTAGCTAGGCTGGCTCCGGCCCTTGACTGCCGTGACCTATCAATATCGATTTTTGCTATCATAACATGCATGGTAACAAAATACAGTACTAAGACGCACGTTGAGCTTCACTCGCCAAAAGCAGCACCCAATGAATTTGAATTTCGAAATCATGAACTTCAATTTTTGAAATTCGTTGAAATTTGAAAAATACCCTTAAATGACTGCAAATTCCAGGCAGTAAGACACGATGATGTCCATGCTTCGAGCGAGAACTTGTTAATCTGCTGATCTCCATTTTGAAATTTCAAATCAGTCATTTCTCCGGATCTATGACTAGAGGCGCGATTTTTATTGCCAGATAAGTACTAAATAGGGCATATTTGTCTTATAACGTTCTAGAAATATATGAAGTTTCGAAGAAGCTTCTATAGGTAGTCGCTCATGCTGCTTACTCTTACTATTTTGTAATCAGTTCTTTGAAGATCAAAAACCCATGCGAGTTCAGTTGGTAGCAAATTCGTGACTATTTCGTCCAAATTTCGAGCGAAACCCGCCAAACTCTGCAAGTGGTAACTTCAGACAGCTATTTAGTTGATGCACTTTATCTGGTACTAATTGAAGATTCGCACAGGATTTTAGCATTAAAAGGGAGCTCTAGTTGATGACAGCCGAAGAGATCGCAAGATCTTCCTGACCGTCTCGCATTTCTCCTACCTATTGCGGATCACACCAGCAATAATCAAAAATCACAGTTTCTCCAAACTAATCGATATTTGGATGTATTCCTTTAGATAACTTCACACCTTTGGACATGCCTGGGTCAGTTGGCAGGTGCACCCACAACTCAATAAAATAAACTAAGGTACAACACATGTTTTCGTAACCAGGCACTTCTGATGAAGGTAAAAGTTATGTCTCCCAACACTTTCAGATTTCTAAAGTGCGTTGCATAGTGAACCTGGGAATTTGACACCATAAACTTTAATTTTTAAAGTCTCGAAAATTCAGAAATTACTTCTAATTGTTCAGAATCCAAGACACATTGAGCAGAATTGAAGGCTTATTTCCAGTTTTGTTTTTAAAATGTACTGCCATTGTCACTCTGAGTTTTCCAATTTGAAATTTAGTAATTTTCACTGAAACCTTAGCTCTGTGAATGCGATTTTGACAAATCAGTTAAAGACAGAGCTCTTTACTAAAATATGAGAAAAATTTCAAAAAAATATTTTCATTCTATTCTCAAATCTTCCTTCGAATGAATATTTCTGATTCGAAAGTTTAACTCAATCGAAAGAAGTAGCAATGTATGAGATACATGTAAAATTTTCAGTACTTCAGTATTTTCAGTTCGGAAATCCCTGCTCAGAACAGGGAAATTGCTTGACCGATCCATGACCTCGAACCAACCGTTAACCACCACTACTAACGCCAGCAGATTCACGTCTTGAGAATTGATGCCGGATAGTTTTGTAGGAGGCCAATCATCATACATCTCACTACAATCGAATTTCGATAAGCTAGTGAACATCCTTTTACAAATTCTATTTCGAAGTCAAAAAGTTCTGTGGAAAAAATGGAGGAAATCGTTTAGTTTAGCAATATAATCACGGCTTCATCACCCTATGGGGATCTTCACAGTGATTGACCTCCAACAAATATTGCAAAATCAAAAGTTTTGCTCACAAGACTTGATTCTTGAGCTCTTTTCAGAAGTGAACATCCTGTGATACTTACATGCAGATTTCGTGCAGCAAATGGATTATGTTTCGAAAACGTCAAAGTTAAAGTTGCATTTTCTTTGTTTGTTAATCTAAGAGTTTGAGAGATCTTACTGTTGATACCAGAGCCGTAGTTCAATAATAAATAAAAATCATTCTGGGGCTAAAAATCAGTACCACTTTTTGGATTTTAAAAACATTTGCTTTTGTAGATCTGCAACCATTCTCCACAAATAAAGAAGCGTATTGTGACAAGAAGTTTCGAAAAGCTGTATTGAAGAAAATGTGTTTCTAGACATATGGCATCCTTGAGTTGTTGCTAGTTGATCTGCACGCATTATGGTCTTGAAGTACTAGTTATCTATAAAGAAATGGAAGTGGTGATATGCAAAAAACGTTTAAAGTGCCCCTACTTGTTTTTTTGGTGCAAATCTGCGGCAATTTGAAAAAAACATTTCAGTGCAGTCGAGAGTGAGAAAGTTGGTCTTGATTCCAAAATCCAAAGCATACATCTTTTGGCAAAAACAGGACATGACTGACCAAGTTTTCGCTATAATTCAGCGGGATGAAATTCTCATTGAATGCTTGAGCCTCATGAGCTCTCGAAAGAAGAATGAGCCAGCGCCTTGATTCTGACAAATAGGTCCCGAAACCGAAACCATTGATATTTCACTCAGTTTCGGGCAATTTATTCTCCCAAGGGCATGTTTTCACACCTCAACGGACTTCTGCCTGCGAACTGTTCCATCACAACACTGGCGCTAGATTGTCGAATAGAACTTACCATCAGAGAATTTCTAATTTCTTTTTCAATGCTCTTCGACCTAGCTTAGCACCTATGAAGGATAATTTAGTAGTTCGCAAGAAACAAATGGTAATGAGCAGTTGATTTTGATTCTGATAATTGCAATTTAATTTTTGTTTGACTAAATTTGCTAGCTTCATAAGAAAATAGCGATATCAGGAATTCATCACTAAATTCCAGAATAGCTAGAAGATATGATCAAACTTTATAACCAAATTATAATTTGAGCACTTTTTTGTTTCAATTTACTTCGAGACCTCAAGTGTTATGGTTGTAACGAACTTGTTCCTAAAATTCATACGTTGCAGAACCGTGTAATCGTAGTGGTAAAACCGATGAAGAGTGAGGTCATGATCACGTAGCTGCTTTAGTCACACTTACTACGGACCAATGAATAATCAGATTTGCGAAATTTCTACTAAAGCTATTTCTTTGAGATTAAGCACAGAATCAGAAAAACACATGTTCAACCTAAGAAAAATCTTCTCGTCAATCAGCTACAGCTAGAAGAGCAAGCTCCTTTTCAAATATATCTGCATAGAAGGGTTACAAAATGATTTTTTATCTCATTGCAGTCATTTTGACAATATACAGATGGTACATTGCCAGCTGCCATCGCACTGTTACCAATCAATTAGCTGGCATGCCAAAATTTGATTCGAAATCAAAAATTGAAATTTTAAATTGGAATCTTAAAAAAAGTTTGAAATTTCAAAATGGAGATCAGCAGATTAACAAGTTCTCGCTCGAAGCATGGACATCATCGTGTCTTACTGCCTGGGATTTGCAGTCATTTAAGGGTATTTTTCAAATTTCAACGAATTTCAAAAATTGAAGTTCATGATTTCGAAATTCAAATTCATTGGGTGCTGCTTTTGGCGAGTGAAGCTCAACGTGCGTCTTAGTACTGTATTTTGTTACCATGCATGTTATGATAGCAAAAATCGATATTGATAGGTCACGGCAGTCAAGGGCCGGAGCCAGCCTAGCTAATAATGCCACTATGAGGGACCAATAAAATCGGAAACAAAAAATTTGAGAATTTTAGGTTTTTAAACATATCATTGGATAGCTTGCGATGAACTAATTTCAAATATGTTGTTCAGAATTTTGTACAATTACTTTGAAGATCGTTATCAGCTTATCAGTGCAAAAAATGGGGCAAAAAGATTTAAAACGTGTAATTCACTAAAAAATTGAGATTTTCAAACTTTTAAACACATTAGCGGATAGCTCGAGGAACACTGATGACAACTGTGTAAACAAGATTATTGTGGGATAAATATGAAAGCAGTTATAAAAATGCGGCACTTCCGACGCAAAAACGCGTTTATTGTGCCCTGCGGCACATGAAAAAATTGACTTTTTCAGATTTTGAATATACTGTCGGATAGACCAATCAGTGCTGAATCCGAATATAACAAGGAAAATTAGAAAGAGTAGTTTTGTGGAAAGTTATTCGAATGCGGCTCTTTCGACGCAATATCGCGTTTATTGCGCCGTGGGGCACAAAAAAATTGTGAATTTTTCAATTTTCAAATATACTATCGGATGCAACAGACAGCGCTGGTTCCAAATATTTTAATCAGAGCTCGATAGGAGTAGTCTGAAAGAAGTTATAGCAATGCGGCACTTCCGGCGCTTTATTGCGTTTAAAACGCAGTTTTGAAAAGCGGCACTGCCAGTGCTGTATTTCACCAGAAATACTGTTTTTACTATTGCAATCTCACCTTTATTTGGTTTGTAGCTCCACAACCGCAAGATCAGTTCTGGATAAAACCCAAAAACTTTGGTACAGAAATATCATCATGCAAGCAATGCAGGTGCTTCATATCAAATGTTTGCGCAAGAGAGAAGCTGAGTTTTGAGGCTCGAAATTGTGCTAACTCTGTGCTAAGGATGGAACTTGGTTGAAAAACGGATGAAAACGCAGAGATTTTCCAAGCGTCAAACGAAATACCTATCGAAAGAGCTAATTTTATCTCATAGCTTTGGTAGAAGCTAATTAGAGCGCGTAAACCACAGATGAACGGATGGTTCTGGAGCCCAATCACTCCGAAAGCATTTAGAGCCTTCTGAAAAAAGGAACGGTCCTCGTTTTGAACTGCACTGGGTTCAGTGTGTAGCAGATATGTCAGACTTTGTTACTGTAATTCTTCAAAAAATTTGGACTCAAACGATTGCAATCTTGAACGAAAAATGGACCTTTGTTTGAGGTGTTCGTATAATTATGAACCGCTAAAAATTTGCATTAGGCGCAAAAACACTCCTAATATTGATATCGATTTCCATTCTTATGAATCATATACCGTTTTCGGCTGTGTTCTATCGCGTGGTATCAACGGCTTTTTGAGTTTCTCCCAAAAAGTCCGAAAGCTTACAAAATTTTGGGTGTTCGTATAATTATGAACCGCACTTTATATTGTTCCATAGTTTCGAAATGAAACTCAACGTGGAGATCAGGCATAGTTATCACAAGATCGTTGATCACCTTGGTGGACAAACAGCTAGAATTTCATATTAAGATTTTTCTCAATTTCATATCAACATAAGTACTTTATCTTTTTTTTTTGAGCTCTATATGTATTTTAATGTGGCCTGACAGTAGCCAATATAGGCCGGGCAGCTCCGCCCACTTTTTTGAAATCGCCTAATTTTGCATAAATTTTCGTTGGGTGTGCAAATAGCAAGTTTGACCAAGTGTATGGGGTCTATTAGAAGGAGGGCTTTCCATTACGGGAAAAGAGCGTGAACATTGTAAGCGCGAAATTCTCTTGCCGCTGGTGGCATTGTGCTTACTTTTTTTTTGGAAGAATTAAAAATTGACCTACTCCACAGCTTTTCTAGAATCCGATAAAGTCATAAATTTGAAAAGTTTATTTTATCAACGCCAGATCCAGCGAAAACCGTTTGTGAATAGCAGACCAATAATTCAAACTTGGTTTCTGTTGCAGATGGTATGGATTGTGTCGTTCTTCAGCACAGTATTTGTCAATGTTATGGAAGGACTTGCTATTTCTATCCTATTCGCGCTATTTACAGTGATTTGCAGATCGCAGTGGTAATGATTTCTTTAGTGCTTTTTCATTTACGGGTATTGTTTGTCCCTGATTTTCCAGGCCAAAATGGCAGTATTTCTTGCAAAACACACAAGAAGAACAGGACTCCGAAAGACCATGCAACAATCCTGATGTTTGCGTGTTTCGCTTCGATGGGCCGCTGCTGTTTACGAACGTGGAAAGGTCAGCTTTAGTTGAGCATTATTTAAATTGAAGATTCGATTTTTGTGCCCCTTTTTCCATTGAGGAAACAAGAAATTATTTACGAATGAAGTATGCTTCAGTATGCAAAGGCTCAAGTTTTGAAATAAAAAGCCACTTTTCAAATACCCCTACTTTTCTAACCTGAGAGACGTTTGGATAACTTTGAGACCTTACAAATTGGGTTTTTATGGTGCCTATAAGGGAGGTCCGTTTGCTCGAAGTGGCCTTTTCACACGAAATTAATACGACTATAAAGAGCACCGAATGCTGATTCCAAATCTGTCTTCGTTATCTGCCGAGCGCCTCTGGACGTCGAGTTATGAGCGTTTTTGAGTTAAAAAATTGAAAGCATAACTAGCACAAAATTCGTCAGAATTCAAATGGTCCAAAGCTGATTAGCACTCCATTTGAACAATATCCATCTATCCAATCCAACTTCTATCCAAAACATCAATACTCAACACTGCTCTATTTGAGCATTGAAAAGACCGTAAAGTTTGATTTTACCTAGACTATGGGTTCCTTTCTCGCAACAAGAAAATGTTCATAACTCGGCATGTAGAGGCGGATTTTGTAATCAGATTCGAAATCACCGTTTGATGCTCTTAAAAGTGGTATAAGATCATTTGGAAAGGCCACTTCGACTAATCGGACCTCCATCGTTAGTTGAAAACTATAAATGTGGTAAATTTTGTGCCTGAAATAACCTTTGGCTGAGACCGATAGGAGCAAGCACGCGGAGTCAACAGAGTTTCATAGCAAAATCAGCAACGTCACAGAAAAGTTAGCAAATTGTGGAGTAGCAGCAGGACAGGTAACTAGGAAAATATAAACAGCAAAGGCACAACAAAAAGATGGAAGAAAACTTTCCCTTCACCGTCCTCCGACGGGGTGCATACCACGAATGGCGGCGTCCATGGGATAGCCCATGAAGCCTGCATGATCGATACACGGTCTCTTGATCGGTATATCGTCATATCTCAACAACGTAAACATTTTTTTCTGTTTTTTTTTGTTGAAAATTGAGAATTTCTCTTAGAACATTTCTTGAAGTTAAAATTTGAATTTTTGCATTTCAGGTTTCGAAAATCTCTAAACAGAACCCTGGAACAGTGGATGAAGTGTTGGGAAGAGAACCCAAGCGCAGAAGCAAGTTATTTTCACCTTATTATCGCATAGGCTGCGTTGAAGTTGTGCGTGCCAGCGCCGTGCCAGGACATCGATCGCTCAAAATAAGGCGCATGCACGGGGCCAGCGCGACGCTAGCGCAGCACCACATGAACGCGCCCCGCGTTGATCGAGTTCCTGCGCGGCGCTAAATTGGCGCTGGCATCTGGCGCAAATCCGGTGCACGCACAGTTCTGGGCCAGCTGCAGAAGAATTCATCGTAGTGATCATTCACAAATTTTATCTAGGATACAGAAAAATTGAACAACTCGTCCTCCCCAAATCGTCCAGAGAGTCTCTATAAAGGCGGTAGCCCTCATTTTCTCATCATTGACTGCTCAGCTATGGCTTATTGTGATTACATGGCTGCCACTGCTTTCAACGAGGTGAAAATTTGGAATAATTTTGAGAATGGCAAGGAATGATGATTTCTGTCGTTTTAGATAGCCAAAGATTTCAAAGACAAAGGTGGCATACTTTACCTTGCTGGAGCTAATGGTAAGGAAGGATTTTGCGGAGTCCAGTCTTAAAAATTGAAATGGAAGTTTTCTTAGCTTCACTTCGAACTGCACTGGGTGCGAGTGGCTTTTTCAAGAAAATTGAAAAAGAACATCTGTTCCCAACATTAAAGGACGCGCTGGCCATCGCGAGCAGAAATGGGTGAGTAGGCTAAAGTATGATCGAATCGTAGCATAATGCAACTTACACGGCACTCGCAGGATCTTACGCCTTCTAACAAAAACCCTTCCAGTTCTTCTGACTATTGTGAAATGATTGTTTACATCTCATTTACTTCCATTTGAGAGCAGAAAACAAGCAAACCGAACAGAATTCTTTAGAAATTCGCAACTTGTAAGAGAAGATTTTAGGCGACTGAAAGCCATATTTTGCTTTAAAAAGAGAATTAAACAGTCAAAAGCTCTTATACTCTGCTAATCAAGGTCGCTGATTTCAAATATGAAATTTGCACTTTACTGCATTCTCAGACAGCGGATAGGACCCCTCCGCCGGAGAAATGGCAGGGTCGCGGCGTTTCCCCAGCGGTGGGTCTCCCATTTGTCCGGCGGAGCCCTCCCATTTGTCCGGCGGAGCCCTCCCATTTCTCCGGCGGATACCTCCCATTTTCTGCTCCGGATACCTCCCATTTTCTGCTCCGGATACCTCCCATTTTCTGCTCCGGATACCTCCCATTTTCTGCTCCGGATACCTCCCATTTTCTGCTCCGGATACCTCCCATTTTCTGCTCCGGAGGCCTCCCATTTCTGCTCCGGACCCCTCCCATTTTCTCCGGCGCGGCTCTTCCAAATTTGGCGGACACGCGCCGCGCAAATTTCTCCGGCGCGGAGTCCGCCAAATCTGGCAGAGTCGCGCCGGAGAAATGGCGGACCTTTGCAGCAGGGCCGGAGAAGCCTCCCATTTGCCTGCCAGTGATGTCACCGCGATGGACCGCCCATTTGCCCTTCTCTCATTGGTCAACTGGGTCCGGCGCGACTCTGGCAGTTTCGGAGGGTCCGGCGGAGGGGTCCCGTCGATTGTCTGAGTTGCTGAATAAAGTATTCCAAGAATATCGTGACAGGTTTTTTCTAAAGTCCGCAGAGATGTGTTTACAACCTTGAAAGAGCTCAAAACTCGTGGAAAATTGTTTAGTGAAATCGGCATGGGCGAGCACCTACTAAACAATTTTCCAGATTTTCTAAAAAAATTTTGTCAGACGGCCTTTTTAACAATGGTTTTGTATACTAAAAGTTCTTACCCTAATCCCACAGTAATGAAAAGCAATCGCTGATCCACTGAGTATACTGTAAATCTAAGTTCAACTTCGCTCTACACAATGGTACCTTGAGTTCGCCGAAGGACATCAACGCAAGACAGTTATTAACGATCAAACAATGTGCACATCTTTCTCGGACACCCTGTATTATTTCGCATTGAGATTTCTCCCTATGAGGCAGTAAGGGTCCAAAAATTTCCTTTCGGGGGAAGGAGAGGATTTTTTTTTGAGTACAGGGATTAGCCGCGCTGTGGGAAACTATCTGGAAAGCTCTTCAAAGTTTTTGTTGGCCCATAGCCTGAGTTTTTGAAAAACCCAGTTCTTCTACGAAGCTGATTTAAAACTTGAAAAAACTTAGAATATCTCCACACTTGCAGATGAAGACAATTCATTACGCAATTTCATAACACGCGTATATTTTCGAAAATATTGCGACTCACTCATCTCCTCCCTCTCTTCGCCATTGCTATGAGATTGTAAAACCTTATATGGTATAGATGAGCCTACTCTCTAATTTCATCCCCTCTCTCCTCCATTTTTCCTCCATGATGAAGAAATAGATGAACGCCACAGGTTGTACAGAAAGACTAGTTTACCTTTGTGAATCCTAGACCAAAGCATTCTTAAAAAAATAAAGAATTATCCTGGTATGGCTATGCTGCATGGGCAGCTCGAAAATCGTTTTTCATAGGACTGGACATTCTGAGCTTTCGAGATTCGGTGCTGCACAAATGTTTTGGAAAGTACGCATTTAAGATGTTTAGAGCACATGTTGACCTCAAAGCAACATATTAAGCCAACAGAAAAAATCGTTTGCCCTCCACGATGCAAAATCAATCAAAAACTACTACGCACAATTTTTTTGCTTGGAATCGACGTTGTCCTTCTCGTCGTATGATTTTCCAAACTTTACTGAGCTAAGAGAGCTTTAACTTCCATACGGGACCTCAAAAGATAGGAAGTTTGTGTGATTGAGTGATAATTGTAAATGTATCCACTCAAGTACATGATACTGCTAGCGTTTCCTATGCCAGCGCCATGCTAGCGCCATTCCAGCGCCGTGCCGGATGGCGACTGATCAATATCAGCTGCGTCCACGTGATATTGCGTACAATGCTAGCGCGGAGCTACCATGGCACTGGCACAATGCTGGCACATTGGGCAACTCTAAACTCTGCCTTACCGTAAATTCAGCAGGATAAGGGAAATAGAAGTTAGCTTAAACTAGTAATTTGGACTTATAACACATTTTACTGCGAAAAAGCTGGTTGTCAAGATATCCTCATTTAACACGTCCTTGTAAGGAACTTGTGAATAAAATCTTTTTCAAATTTAAAGAAAGCAACCCTGTTTTCATAAAATGTGTATGAGATTTGATTTATAATCCTGCGTATTATTAATCTTTGCTTTTTTTCGTATAAGATTACAATCAGTTCGATTTTTTGATAAACATAACCAAGTCGGCTCCATCAACTGAGCATTGACTCAACTTTTGTTTAGAGCCTTTCCTTACTGCTGGCTATCAATTACCACCTTATCGTAATAAACATCGCTTGTAGCTTTTGTTGCACAGTTGTGGCACAGTATAAGTACTGTGTGACTTCCTTTGAAGTTTTGTCAGGTACGGGTGCCAGTAGATTGTGTTTACGCAGAAGAATAGAAATCTGCATTACTAGCTCTGATTTTAAGGGAAGCGGGAGAAGGAAGACACTTAAGTCTTGTTCTTTAACAGTTAACTAAATAACTTCCCCATTTATCAGTATAGCTCAGTATCATTTCTCACTTATGCATACTGTTTAGAAACGCATTACGGCTACTTCGCAATGCCAGAAAGGAACCTCAGGTAAGAAACTCTCTTTTTTCCTCAATGAATCTTTTTCATTTAGTATTATTGGAGAAAGTTTCACGGCTGCAAAAATGTTTCTGCTAATTTCTATCTAAGTGAAGTTGAATGTAAGGAACTAGCTGGCAAACCCGGCTCCGCCCGCCCTGTCAATAATGTATTCGTAATCAGCATGCTCACTTACCCCCCTCCCTCCCCTGTGCCATCTTCCAGCTCCTGGCCCGAATTTTGCGAGAAATCGATAAAATAGATATCGATCGATGGCAAAAAGGCCTACGACACGCGCCCCGCCCTGAGGTTTATGTGTGCCTACTTTGGTCCGAATCGGTTCAGAAATAGAAGTTTCTATTCGGAACATACGTACATGCAGACACACAGACAGACAGGCAAACAGACATCATTGCTTTATATGTTTATAAAATATTGGTCTTCTTCAATCACGAATTGCGCTTTTGGATAGACACCCCACTTGATGTCTTTTGGTATCAAGTGTGCTATCCAAAAGGAGAGTGTCGCGGATTCGCGACTTCCGTCAAAGGAGGCCGCCGCCGCGCTGCGAAGGGGTCCCGAAACGCTGTCCTCGCGCTGCTCCCGCCTTCCCATCGCCACCGCCACAGCTTTCAAATCAGTCGTCAGTTTCGTTACCTGGTGAGCGGTTGGGTCCCAGTTTCGTCATCCCACGTGTCGATCGATGCAGCGCCGTCCCCATCTCACGCGTTCAACTACATCTACGCCACGGAGGACAGGCAACCACTCAGATGAGGTAACCCCGTGAGCGCTCGCGCCTGGCACATGCCGGCGACACCGCCGCGGGGGGTTTCCGATATTGTCGGCCCCTAGGATAAGGGCTGGTTGTGCTCACCCCTTGTGTTTGAGTTTAGGGATTAGTTGTGGATAAATGGTGGGCATTTTACACGTGTGATTTGTTTGGAGCGGTGGGCCACAGCTCGGCTGTGGCTCCGGGGATATCTCATGTCATCGTTATTATTGTGTACTTTATAATCTTGTCTAGTGGGAAAGACCTGTTGGAAGGCTGGCACGACCCCGGGTAGTGCCTTGGTTATATGTGCACGCCCCAACTGTCGATGGTTGGGAGTAGTCGAGTCGCAAGTGCCGAGTGACTGCTAAGCAGGCTGGTGGCAAGGGCCTCTACGTGTGCTTGGAGTGTCCCTGTGGCAGGCGCACATAGCATTTCTCACAGGTAGCCACCTCACATGGTACGCTTCACTCTATCACGGAGCGGACCCCTGGCTCCCCTCGCTGATGCAGGAGGGCACGTTACCACTGACGTTGGGAGCTGGGGGCCCAATCCGCGACAGAGAGAGCGGAAATACCAAAATTGCCTTTTTCATTGCGCGAAGGGAATTACCTGCTAAAAATAAAACTTTGTACCTTTGTCGTAGATTGCTGTATATACGCCATATTTTAGCTGGCAATATGTATCAATTTGGCCCGAAAATTCATTCTCCTTTTTTATCAAAAATCACAATTTTCTGAACTTCAGTGAAATTCCTTCGAAGTAATATCATTTGAAAGCAAAAATTTTGCGTTGCAGCAATGCCTTTGTTTTGAAGGTTCAAAACGAGTGTTCTTAAGTTAAACGGTGGTTAAGTGCCAATATATGTGAATCAGTGGCGTACCGAGGGGGGTGGGGGAAGGGGGGGGGGGCGCGCCCCCCCCCCCGAGAATGGGTCGCAAAATTTTTGAAAGTTACTTAAATGTGTTATAAAAATGTGCAGAGGGCTTGTATTTACTTGTAAATAATTAAAATAATTTTTAAAAATTTTTAAAAATTCAAATTAGCTTTGTAAAAAAAATTTTTTCGGGGGCGTGGCTGCCGCCACGCCCCCTTTTTCTCGAATTCTGGGGCCAGGAGCCCGTAAAAATTCTGGGAAACATTCCAAAAATTTTTTCGGAGTGCGTGGCTAACGCCACGCACCTTCATTGAAAATTTTTTTTTTGTCGCCCCCCCCCCCCCCGAGCCGAAATCCTGGGTACGCTACTGATGTGAATGTATTGCTTCATATTGTGAAAATCAACTTTTTTGATGTCGACAGGTTTTGCAACTTGCCTGCTAAAGTTTACAAAAATGCAATACGGGTAGCATCCCAGAGGAATCGCTCCCACGACGTCCAGCTCCGCAGTCCAAGCCACTATCCACTGCACCAAAAATCCTTTATAACTCCTCCAGAATGGCGTTATAGGAGATATGTAATGCGGTTCAGAGATCACCGTCTCGGGACGGTATACGCGGTTTACACCGCTTACCCAATCGTCGCTGCGATTAAGTATCCTTCTTCTGTAAGATAGCATTACTTGAATGCCCTGTCATACATAACGGGCAAAATATCCGTAATTAGCGTGTCAATTAACCACTGTAGACAATGTTTGAGCGAATTCTGAAGTTTCAAGATACTGAGTCACCTAATGAAGTCGCCATTTTCCAGCATGATTAACTTTGCTTCAAAGGTGAAGTAGCTAGTGTTTTTGCACTCAAGACAAAGCACTACTCCTTCTAAGGCCACTTCAGAAATCTCGCTTCAAAAGTCCTCCTAACTTTGGGATTAGAAACCAACCAAAATCTTGCTTTTGCTATTTTTCGTTTCTAATGGCTGTGGTTTCAGCAAATACTACTCAGAGTTAAGAAGACGAATCAGGCTCAAATCACTCCTATGAAATCTACGAGGTCTAGGCTATCGACTCGTATAAATAATGTTCGCTAAAAATGTTTTTTTTTTGATATAGTTATGGGGTGTGTCACCACCCCTAAAAAGCTGTGGCTGCCACAGCTTTTTAGGGGTGGTGCCACACCCCATTAACTTACCCTCGAACAGATTAAATAGCTGCGTTTTTTATATCGTTACTACTGCTTAACCTTCTTCTTTACATAGCAGAAATTTCATATGAAAACGTTTCTTCAAAGCAAGATATAATCGTTTTTCCTTACCTATGCAAATGTAAAATACTGGTAAAATATGCTAAAATATTAGGATACGGTAACATGCTGAATCTGCGCTACTACGTGAATCGCAAGGGAAGGCGGCAAGAACGTATATATTCGATAGCCTAAGCCTCGTAATCAGGGTCAAGCTTGTGATGCGACTGTCGCAACGGGGGGTCGTGAAGAGATAATTAAGGTGGGGGAGAGGGAGGAGGTCGTCAGAGGAGGTAGTTAGGCTAAAATATCACAAGCTTAAAAGGGAATCAAAAAGCAAACAATTAGTTATGTTATGTTCTTTACTATAAATCTACAAAAAAGTGGAAATCAGAATGAAAAAGATAAAAAATGTGTAAAAATTCTCAAAGAAAAACATTTACAAGAACTCAGAACTCTTTTGAAGGATGTATGATTTCATAAAAATGCTAAATGTACCGATTGCCCTAGAAATCTTGCCTCGTCTCACGCACTCGACAAAAGCGAATATCTTTACCAGCTGTGACCATCATGAACTTCTAAATCTTTTTGTAATGTTTTTCACGGGCCCATATGATTTATCTGTACTTTGGAGATGTTTGCTACGGTGCAAAATTTGGTCTCATTTTGTTAACTGTGGATTTTCTTATGATTTTATGTATGATAGCAAAAAATGAGAAAAAGGGGGTCGTATCTGCGCCTCATCTAAATTTCTCCGGAGCTATCGAAGCTTGTTGGCTGCAATTCTGCTGTAATATGAGGCCATCCTCTTATTTTCCCTTATAAAAATTGCAGGCTGTTTTATAACTTCTCTGGTAAGTTACAAAATTTTTAGCTCAAAAATCCCAGTTTTTGATTCTTAGGATCGCATCTAAATTTGCGAGAGTCGCATCTAAATTTTTTTGAGCTTACTGCTCCTCAAGGGCTGAAACTTTTTCTGTGGATAGCCTGGGCACCATGCTACACAACCTGTTCTTTCCAGCCTCTCAGCCTTTTCCTGGCGTTAGTTACGAATTTTCAAACTACCGTGCTCATGCACGTTTTTGACGTCGTTCTGGACGGCGCTAAAGCGGTTTTTTCCCGCGGGAAAAACTGTGGAAGAGGTAGAAAGTAAGCTTTTTAGTCGGAAACATCTTTTGTAAGCTTCTTAGTCGGAAACATCTTTTGTAGTTCAAGAATGTCTTTTTTTTTTCTCAGTGCAAAAATTTGTGTCGCATACAGAATCGAATTTGCTGGTCTGAAGTATGCCTAAAAAATACTTGCAGGATCTCAAACATTATTGAAGGTGTGTATGTGTGCTATAGGTGCTGGGCGCACCCATTGGCCTAGATATTCTGCTTCCGAAACCTCAATGAAGTTCTCACGCAGATGTTTTTTGAGATTGACATTCATTTATGCAGGTTACCATGAGGGATGTGGGCAGGCGAGGTAAGGGGGGGGGGGTGGTAGATGGGGAGGGTGGGGGGGGGGGTCGTAAATGAGGGTCCCGGATCGTATCAACACGCTTGGTCCTGCGCGTAATCTACAGTAAAGTGATTTGAGCCTGATTTTTTCGGTAGCCTGAAATATTGAGAAGGAAAAATGAAACAAATGAGATTTTGGCTTGCTCTTAATTTCTTAATTTGGATGTCATTTGAAGTAGGATTCCTAATATGAAGCAAAGAAATAGTAGTTCTTTGTATTAAGCGCAAAAAGAAGTAGTTAACCTACCTTCAAAGCAAGGCAACATGTTTGAAAACGACCATCTTACTTAGGTGGTCCTGTATTTGGAAACCTCAGAATACGCTGAAACTTGGACCACATTTATTTCACTTGCTAATTGCAAAACGAAGCTGCTAAGGTTTGGGGTGAGAAAGAACGTTTCAAGGTTGAAGATCTGAGCGACTCTGGACGATTTGAACATTTATAATCTTTTTATTATTAGGTTGTCAAGAAAATAATGTCGGTTTTTATTTGCTTGCTTTAACAAAGCAACGAGACTCAACCCAACAAAGGATAAGGGGTACTACGCGATAGAGCAAAGCAAGCGCTACAAGATGGCACTCATTTCTTTGCGCCACGTTCGATCCACGGAGAGTTCGAACTCAAAATCTAAAGATTTCCAAATGCCCAAAAAATCGAAAAAAATCAGATATTTGTCCAGATAATTTCTACGGACCTCCCACTCGCTCACATCAATACTATCGATATCTGATATCCATATGTGCGATTGCCGTATTTTTTCCTTGACTAGAAACTGAGAAAACGAAAATTTCTCTGATTTTCTCGAAGGAATGCTGAGCCGTTTTTGCATATGTAGTTTTATACTACAAGCCTAGGTAAGCATAACTGTAGGTTTTCAGCCTATTTCGAGCGGTACTTTTCGAGAAATGTGGATTTTAGCACTGAAACTGAAACGAAAAAATCCGAATTCGTTATTTTTCGAAAACTACCGCTTGGAATGGGCTGAAAATCTACAGTTATACTTACCTAGGCTTGTAGTATAGAACTGCATATGCAAAAACGGCTCAGCATTGCTTTGAGAAAATTAGGGAAATTTTCGTTTTCTCAGTTTCTAGTCAAGGAAAAAATACGGCAATCGCACATATGGGTATCAGATATCGATAGTATTGATGTGAGGGAGTGGGAGGTCCGTAGAAATTATTTGGACGAAGATCTGATTTTTTTCGATTTTTTGGGCATTTGGAAATCTTTAGATTTTGAGTTCGAAATCTCCGTGGATCGAGCGTGGCGCAAAGAAGTGAGCGCCATCTTGTAGAGCTTGCTTTGCTCTATCGAACAGTACCCCTTATCCTTTGTTGGGTTAAGTCTGGTTGCTTTGTTAAAGCAAGCAAATAAAAACCGACATTATTTTCTTGACAACCTAATATAATTGCTGAGATTATCTCGGCCTCTTCATGTGTAATCGCATTTTTTAGACACATTCATAATGAGGCCAATTTTTCGATTACTGCCGTTTCGGACCAGAGCCTTTTTCGTTTTGTCAAACTTACGACCCAACCGTGGGTCGTATTGTTCGAAATGGCTGTCTTTTTGAAAGAAATTCAAAACATGTCTCCGAGAACTTCCCCACGAGGGTTATCGAAGGCGCTGATTACCAAAATATGATTTACCAGTGCGTCACATCTGCTTCGCAGAGGCTCGCACTGGCTATACTATCCACATACCAACCTCGCAGTCACAAAATGATGGCTTTGGAACTTACCTTGCGATGCCGATCAGCACGAATGAAATGTAAACAACTACTCATTCCAAAAGCTTTTTCATGTAGGATCGGTGACTTTAAAGGAAGGAAAGTATTCTCCAAAAGATTAAATGCGATTCTCAGTTACTGGTTATAATGACTTGATACTTGCCATAAAGATGATGGCAACCGTGAGTTACATCTCTGAGCAAAAATTGTCCCGCATTCATTCCCAGGTAAAACCTTGACAAATCGATTCATCTACGCAGTTATTCCTTTTTGGCGCTGATCTTGCGCGAAAGTAACCTTTTTGCTCACTTTTCGGGCTAAGGTCCATGGTTTGCGGATTTACTTGCTAAACGAAGCCATGACTTTAAAAGAAGTTCAATTACAGGCCCATCTTGGCGCGCGAAATATCGCGTGGATCAGTTTGGCGCACAATTTCTCGGGTTCCAATTACTGGATCGGCTTGTGCTTTTGCATATTTTATCCGCATGCTGATAGGGTGCTATTACCCAAATTTCAATTTCCCAAAGACCTTTGCTGGAACTCGCGCTGTGAATTTCGTGACAGACAGACATTTACACACACAAACACACAAAAACACGTAAACACCCTTAGCGCGTTATTATAGTAGGATTTCAGTTTTTGGCAGCATACGGTAAGGTTACGGTAGCCTATACAAACCCAACATCACGGATTTTCATGGAAAATTGTGTTTTGGGGTTATTTCACGTGCTGACCACGATTATGGCGTCCACTTTGCTCACTACTTTCCCAAAGTGGGATGCGGTAGCATTACGGTAAAATTTTCGTAAGAATCAAGAAACTGATCTAAGAAGGCAGTATTAGAACTTGAGACTATCATTTTCGTAATCAGCATACTAAAAACCTACAATGTAAGGTTTGAGCTTCCTGGGATGAACAATGCGAAAAATCAACAAAATTAACAAAAATCTAACTTTTGATGGGCTGACTTCGTGCCCTCCACGTATTTTTCGTGCATGTAAACTTGAATTTTCAAAAACAGCACCACTCTGCGAAAAATGTGAGCTAAAGTCTGTGCCTTGCCTCTATCTACGGTATACCTACCGTAGCATTATTTTACAGTATCCCGAAAACCCGGACCATCTGGCTGGAGCTTCGCCAAGGTGTCCCCCGTCATGTGCAACTCTAGAATTCCACTGTATACTGCCTTGGCTAGAGCTTCAGGTACCTTACGACCCACCGGTGGGTCGTATTGTCCGAAACAGCAGAACACGTACGATTCACCGGTGGTTTGTATTGTCGTGGATGTGTTGATCACTCAAGGCATTTTGAGCCAAAATCTATATCTCATCAATTTTTTAACATAACAGTCTCTGCAAGTGCTGAAAAAAATTTTTTTTATAACCTCAAAGCTTAGAAACTGTTAGAGGAGTTAGTCTTCATGAACCGTCGTTTTCTGACTCCGTGAGATCTTTGATCATAAGGAGAATTAGAAGATTAGGCTACGTGATTTTATGTGGATTGCGTCTAGTAGAGGCTTTTGCATTGGAAAAAAATGGAGGTGCAATAATAAAAAAAACTGCAAAAATTATACAGATTTCAAATGTTTTAAATACACTGAGTTTCCGATTTCAGCTATGAATTCTAGGTAAATCACTCGCTGAGCTCTCTAGCAGTATCTTCACCATCTCTGGCCTCGGCTTCACTACCTCCGACTCCATCGTCTCCAATCGTTCGACTCAGCCCTTTTCCGGCAGATCGACGATGAATTTGCCTTAAGTTTTTTATTTGTATTTTTTTTGGTACTACTCCGTTCACACGAGTAGTGACCTTTTATGTACATAAGCAATGTAAAAGGAGAAAATAAACTTTATTTCTTGCTAAGTAAAGTTTCTAACAGTTTGATACGATTGTCAAGAAAAAAAGCAGATTATTAACAGTTGTGAAATCGGGTGAAATATGACTACTTTTTTGGAGAAATTTGTTCTGGTCACGCATAACACCTTAGCTTGCATCGGAGGCGGGCGCATAGCCCCGCACTCTTTTTTTGTGCTCATCTGAGTACCTTGTCGATATCCTGACAGATATTACCACTACCACTGTTCAGCATTGTACTAAAAAGGGCCTGCCATACACCATACATTAGGCTATACCACAAGCCTTAAGTCGCCACAAAATTAGGCCAAAACAAAGAGCAGGGGAGAGGAGAAAATCGGACTAATGGCGTAAGGATAGAAAGTTTAGATGTACTACAACAATTTGATAATGGAACTTCTCTGATCTCACAAAAAAAACTCCACATAAAAGTGGGAAAGTGTCGCTGTTGCTGTCATAATGTAGCCACACACGACTAACGAAGTAACCGTAGCAAGAGCTTTAAACACAAATACAAAGCAACAGAGCGGTGCTAGAGTATGTGATTGGTTTGCCGATCGTACTACAGGTTACTGCACTATCAAATTTCAAGATTTTGAAACGTAAATGTATGAACTCGGGTAAATCGTCCACAGCTCGGTAGTGTCGACGACGCTTGGCGCGTTCGTTGAGATTTTGTCCGATTTTGGCGACTCATCGAAGTTCTTGCTAGTCCGTGATTCTTGCAACGCTTCTGTTCTTCCAGTACGATAAATGTACTAAAACAGTACTGGTACTGGTTCTACTAACTGTATGCTTTCTTCGTGCTCGCACAGTAAGAACTTTGGAACTTACCGCGCACTGCTGACCGTCACGAATGAACTGTAAACAACTACTTATTCTAGAAGTTACTTTATGTAAAACCAGTGCTTCACCTCTGCTTCGCAGAGGTTCGCACTGGCATCGTGAACCGTGATAAACTCACTTTCTGAGAGCTTGTCTCTCAAATCATTGTTCGGTTTATTGCAAAGTAAGCCGTACTTAAAAATGAACCATACTCGCTATCTTAACCTCACATGATGTTTAGTATCGTAAATCATTCCTCACTGTAATTTCGTAACGGACAAACTCCACACAACTTCAGATTAAGCCGCTTATTATAAGTCATGATTGATACGGGATCACCTATACTCGCGATTTTGTAAAAAGACCAAATAGGCTCCAGTTTTGCGAGTAAAAAGCCGCTGGACCCGTTTGATGCGCCGTTTTCGTAGGTTTCACACAGCAAATCCTTCGTACTTTTGGATTACGGACCTACATACTGGCGAGCGCGTCATGCAAAATTGTGGGTCGAGACGTTTGCTGTAGCTCACTCTGTGAAGTTCGTGACATTGACAGATATACACATACACACGCGGACAGACAGACGGCCTTAGCGCTTTATTATAAGCCATAATGTAAAATGCATTGAAATGGAGGTTTTCTTGTTTCTTTTAAGTACTTTCAAAATCTGCGCAAGCTTATAGAGAGTGTCTCCGAAAACTCATAATCGGGTCTCGTTTATCAGTACAAAATGGTGTTCAACTAAAATACGATGGATGTTGATCACAACCGATTGGGCAAGCGTATTCCGTTGAGGATTCAGTTGCGTCCATCACAATCAAACTTCAAGGGTAGTGAAGGCCTGCCGTGAATACCAGCTGCCCATACTCCTCACCTTGATCGATTACTAAAACGCTTTCGATAGTGTGAAATCAACGCCGTCTCAATTGCTTTAATCGAGCAAGCGTAGACCAACACACGTAAGACCATAGCGGACTGCAACAAAAAATGTACCAGCACGACACAAGTGTTCGACCACCCGCTCCACACCCGTATCGATAAACGAGTCCAACAAGGCGAACGTTATCGCCGAAGTTGTGCACCGCGATACTGCAGATGGTGCATGAAGTTGCTCGACTGGGAGGCGAAGGGGATTTGCGTAAATGAGAGGTACCTTAGGACTCCGTTTCGCAGACGATATCGTTTTGTTCTCGAATTCTATTAGCGATACCGAAGAGATGCTGAACGAACAGAACGAAAGTGGGAGAAGGATTGGGCTCAGGATAAATCGAAAAAAGAAGCAGCTCATGGAAAACACCTGTGGCCATGTTCATCAACAAACCCTAAGGGTAGACCTCACCCTTGAGGGTAAGTTTTACAGAAAGGATGAAACTCGTATTTACGAAGCGCAGGGTAAGCTTGACCTGGTCAAAGATACCCTTGAGTGTAAACCTTACCTCCGGAAAGCATCAACCCGTATTGATCGACGACTCGGAAGTTAAATTGTACCCCAGAAAGTAACCCGTATTCACGAACGTGGCTCATCAGGCTAAGTTGAACCCTAACGCAGAGCAAGGTAAAATCTACTCTGACACTATGTAAAAACAGAAGTGATCTCTCGATGCGCCATTCAGTCTTAACGATACTGTTTTGACAACAAACGTATACGCTAACCACTTTTCTAAAACTTTAAAAAAACCTCTTTCATGAACGATAACTTTATCGAAAGCTTAGAAACGCGGAAAACCATGTAATCCTGCAAAACGCAAAAGAAGGGAGTTAAATTTACACCATTAAATATCAATACAAACATTATTATCTCAAATTGTCTAATTCCTCTTAGTATCTACGAAAACTAGTATAAATTTTTTTAGTCTTTTGTTGGTCAGCTTTAATTGTATCTAAATAAGCTGCGATAGTTTGATCTTGTATCAAATTATTCACCGAACGAGTATATTGATGGATTAGAATTTGAATGAGAAAGTTCCATATTACGAAAATTTTTCCGAGTTGTTGAGCTTGACTTTCGCCATATCAGAGCCCTTAGTTGGGCATGTGCTTTATTTAAAACTAAATCTTTGACTGTAACAACTCGGCCGATTACATTACCGTATGATAACATCAAGCGAAGACACGAAAGGAGGTCATAGGAAGTTTGAGATAGTAGCGACTATAAATACAGGGTGTCCCAAAAAATGTATCGAACGTTTGATCGTTAATAACTCTCTTCCCAAGAAGTCTTTTGCCTTGCTTCAGGTACCGTTTTGTAGAGCTGGCTTCAACTTAGATTTGCATTATAGAACGAATCACTCATCTCTCTTCTTTACTGTAGGATTACGGCAGAAACTTGAAACATATGGTGTTAATGTGAAAAAAGCTGGCGTTTCAAAATTTTTCAAAAAATTGTGAAAACTTGTGTAATAGGGTTTTTTATGGACGCTGAGTTCAATACTCAACTATTAACAAGATTACGAAGCTTTCTAAACGGTGCAATCCCACTTTTTAGGAACATTGAAAAAATGGCCGCTACTTCTTACCTGGCATAACTCTTCAATGAAGCATAATAAGTTGGGAACTTTACAATTATAATCAGCAACTCTGATTAGCCTAGTGTAAGAGAAAACCCTCTTTGAAGTTTCTACCGTAATCCTACAGTAATGAAGAGAAAGGAGTGATTCGTTCTACAATGCAAATCTAAGTTGAAGCCAGCTCTACAAAACGGTACCTGAAGCAAGGCAAAGACTTCGATATTAACGATCAAACGTTCGATACATTTTTTTGGGACACCCTGTATTTGTTTGTTGTCAGAATAATATCACTAGGAGTGAATGGTGCATCGAATGATCATTTGATGTTTGTACAAGATGTTAGAGTGAATCTAATCTTGCTTTATGCTAGGATTAAGCTTAACCTAATGAGCTGTGCTGGTGAATTACTCTCAAGGGTAGATTGTACCCTTTAGGTTCGTTGATGTATACGGGGTTAATCGCTTTCCGGGTTAAACCCTACGTTGACGAACACGGCCCTAAGACCTGAGGGTAAACCAACCCGAGGGTAAGGTTTACCCTCAGGGTTTTTTGATGAACACGGCCACTGGTGTGGTGAAAGTCAATTATTTTTGGATGGATCACCGATAAAGGAGACTTCATCTTATGTTTACCTGGGACGCGCCAACAACATGAACAACAAGAAGGATGAACTCAGCCTTCGGCCCTCTAAAAGAGGCTACAGACAAACTTGCTAATCCGAATTGCGCGCTTCTCGCCTTTTCAATGCTACCGCTCTCCCAGCATTGTGTTTACCGCCAAAACCTGCTATACCTCAACAACTGTGAAGGCATTACGAACAACACTTAGAGCACTTCAAAGGAAGCTTTTGAAGACAACCAAACTTAAACATCGATTCGGAATCCGGAGATCCGACCTCAGACAAAGCTGCCGCTCGAGCATTAACTTGGCCTTCCAAACATACCCACTCCAGCTTGGACGCTGATTCGAGTCGCTAATTTTATGGCATAACTCAGACCCTCAACTTTCAAAAATCTAAGTCGGTTTTTGCTAAATTTATTTGCGTAATTGTAACCCCGGAGCCGTACTTGGCGCGCGCGAGTTCGATGGGATTGGCCCGGGGTTAACTGTGCGGCTAGAGGAGCCTAGCGACTAAAGATTAATGCCAAAGATTTACTAGATTTATTAGGCAAACAGAGGGCTACAAACTAGAAGACAACTACAAGAAATCTAACCTACAAAAGACACATTAGAAAAGGCAACAACTATAGAGGGAGAGAAAGAATCTCACAAAGGAAGCGAAATTCAGAAAGGAAACGAGTCGACCAACCATCCGTCCGTCCACTGCCTGGTGGCTAGGGTATTTATGTAAACCCGAAATTAATTAAGCTCCAACTCCCTCGATCAAAGACATTATGCACAATTAATATCGCGTTGTCATTTACTGAAACAATGGTGTGCCTTGATATACCGACCGCCTGGCGCCAACTTGCACAGCGTCGTACCAGCATCGTTGTCGCTGTTGACCGTTGTTGATGTTATACAGGTACAATATTGATATCCAGCAATAGAATAGTTTTTGCATTTCTTATAAAGCGTCTTCACTATGGCAGGAAGTACGGTCTGGGCAGGGATTTGAAGCTAGTTTTCTCAGCCACAAGGAACAAAAAATGCCAATTGAGCGAAGGCTTGACTAAGGCTTTTTGAT